GCGTGGTTTCGATCCAAAGCTTGTGCGTGACAAAGAGTAGGTTCGCTTGCCCAACGGCTAAATCTATTTCTTAAGGCCAGCTCAATTTTGTCAAAGTCGTTGAGATGTAAATAAGGTTTAGCACGTGATTGCTGGCGAGATTGTTATAGGTTAGGGTAAGCATTGAGGCTAGGTCCAGGATTAGCGCTAGCCCTGTTTAGATCCTGTGACCTATGACGAAAAAAAAATTGAGCTGGCCTTATCAGTTAGCACTAACCCTTGCCCAACCTCATGGGTTTTCTTAGCTTCTTCCCACTGCAAATTATTGTAAATTGTACCACATGCCAGTCTCTCACTCCAAAATATGTGGGTTTATGAAATGTGTGTATTATAAAGTGAACAAACTATATTGGCATGCTGGCGAACTTAGTACATGATTGGTTGAAACTTATCATGATATCAACTATACTAATGTCCGTAAGAAAATATGCACCGTGCATTTCGTGCTGCATCAACCAAAGTCGCTTTTCCATTGTATGCGGTATTTTGGGTACAATGTCAATTTGTTTCACTTTTTTTTTTGCTAAGAAATGTTGAGTTTTGACGCAAGAGACAAACTCAGTAATGTTTTATCAAATGTTTTTAATCTAAACAAAACTTGGTCATATTTTTAGAGCGTATACTTTCTTTTGAACGTTAGTATAGATATAACTGTAATTTTTTATAAAGATGGGTTCCCTCGTACAAACTGGGTGATTTAATGGTATATATGGACTAAAAACATATTCAAACTAATTAATTTGTCATAACTTTGCTTCAAATCCATCTGAAAATTTGTAATTGCGAAGGAATGTCCTGCTATAAAAATTCGATCAAACCAGGTCATGTTTACGTCACGTGACTTGCCTCTCTTGGAAGTCAGAGGAGAATTTATTGCATACATAAGACAATGTTGTCTTTGATCGCTTACTATTTATTACAAATATCGAATCCTAATTAAATTCTCGGATTATCCACTATCCCCGTCTTTTCCATCATTTTTATTTCAGAAAGTGTTGTACGTCTAACTTCAGAAAGTTTATCAACTTGTACATCAAGCGCTCATTGAGCTCAATGTTCGCGTGTGACCTTTGACATCACGCGTACAGAAATTCCTAATCGTCGGGCTGTTGATTGGGGGAACCCTTACATTTTTGTCCTGTATACGCTCCATGAGTGTTTTTTCGGGGAATCCAGTATTTTTCTAGTAAGATTGGATATCTCTACTTTCCATATAAACCAAAATTACCATACTTTTATTGGAAATAACCACCCGATAAATACTTTTCTGGGAACCCATCTTTAAATAAAAACGCACTCTACTATGTTTAGTATATATAATAAATTGGTTTAAACGGTATTTGTACAACAATTTAAAGGCATAAAGAATAAGATACAAAACCAAAGCCAAGTATATAATGCCTATATTAATTTGCTTCCTTGTTGTTCTAGTAAGATTGGGTGTCTATACTTTCCATATATACCAAATTTGCCATACTTTTATTGGAAATAACCACTGATGATTATACTTTCGGGACAATGTATCTTTAATATATATACAATTTCAAATACATTTACAATAAATCGTTATTATTTTTACCGTTATCGTTATTGTGTGGATATATACACTGATTAATAGGGATTGTTATTGAATTGTAGTAAGCCACCTGTACCGGAAATATTAGTATCGGGAGATTTATTTTATGAAAATCCATGCTTATAATAATTGTATACATTGGCGGACTGGGCCTCGGAATATATATACTATTCAAAAAAAGTAGGGGATATTTAATTATGGGGGCATAATACTAAAATATGCAAATGACTACGAAAAAAGTCACTATAGAACCTAACAGAAGAAACATTTCCAGTTACATGTGACGCCCAAACGCACCAATAGCTACCGCATGGAATGCAGGTGATGCTTGGGATCATCATGGGGGTCCAACCCAAGATTTGCACGACTCTGACTTTGAATGTTACAGTCATTGTGGCATTGAATTCCAGGGTGGAAACATCAGTTTAATTGTTTTAGTGACCAGAAAACAAATTTTGATATGCGTCGGCTTACCCAAAATGAAAGGTTACGTGCCCTTGGCATGCTACAGATCGGCACAACACAGGCGGTTGTGGCGCGGACGATGAATGTTTCTCAGTCTGTCATAAGCAGGCTATGGTCCAGATACCGTGATACACAATCTGTACAGGACAGACCACGCTCAGGTCGACCAAGGGTGACAACTCAAGCCCAGGATCGATTTATCCGTACCTTGGCCTTGAGAAATCGTGTCATCACAGCAAATCAGATCAGCGCTCGTCTTCAAACAGACACTGGTGTGAGAGTGAGTGGCCAGACGATTCGGAATCGACTGCATAGGGGTCACCTTCGCGCCCGACGTCCTCGCGTGATCCCTTGTTTGAGAGATCATCACATTCAGGCAAGACGTCGTTGGTGTAGGGATCGTCAACACTGGGATAATCGACGCTGGAGCAATGTGATGTTTTCAGATGAGTCAAGGTTCACTGTTGATTTTTTGGACAGACGTAGGAGGGTGTGGCGTCGTCGAAACGAGCGCTTCCAAGACGTTAACGTCATCAGACATGATCGATTTGGGGGTGGTTCTGTTATGGTGTGGGGAGGCATCACTGTTGCTGGAAGAACGGCTTTACATGTTGTTGCAGGGCGTGTTACAGGCCAGTACTACCGGGACAACATCTTGGCAGTCCATGTTGTGCCGTTCGCACGACGTCATGGCCGCCGTTTCATCTTCCAGGATGACAACGCAAGATGTCACAGGGCCAGGATCGTTACAGGTTACCTCCAACAACAGAACATCACCACATTACCTTGGCCAGCACTGAGTCCCGACCTCTCCCCCATCGAGCATGTCTGGGACATGCTTGGACAGAGGTTACGTCAACGTCAACAACGTCCTGCCAATGTCCAAGAACTTGCTGCTGCGTTGCAACAGGAATGGGACAATCTGGACCAAAATGACCTTAGACGTCTCATTAGGAGTATGCCACGTCGGATTAATGCTTGTTTGGCAAACAGAGGAGGATTTACCCGTTACTGACTTGGTTGTGATGCTGTGGTAACTTTGCTGTTTGACCCCAGGTATCATTTTACCCTTATAATGGTCAGTCTGTGCCTTACTTAGTCTAACGATCATTTGGAATAAATCGATGAATGTGAACTTCATTTCATTTTGTCATTTGTTTCTTCATCAGTTTCATTAGGTGACTTTAATAACACTTAAAAATCAAATATCCCCTACTTTTTTTGAATAGTATATATATGAGTTTTATAAAACAAGGGGGTCCTAAAAGTTACCGGCCTCACCTGTATGGATCGCTAAAGCTCAACCAATCTGCAAAAGCATCTTAGCATTTACTTGACATACAAAACATGAATTCCACGTGAATTTCTAGCTGTCAAAAGGCCTGAAGTATCTTTATTGAGTGACAACGCTCCTCTGTATAGTACGATTAGTGGTGTGCTGAATTCACAAGGCCATATTATTACTCGGGATGATACCTGACAAAAAATCAAGGTGTGCAGTGGCAAGGTTATGGCCTCCGTTTTCAGTGACTCCGAGGGCTACTCATAAAGGGTTTTACCAAAAATGGTGAATAATATGCAGGTGAATAGTGCAGGGTGCGTGGTGATATCAGTGGTGTTTGACTGCTGCAGTTCACACCGCCTAGGTAATTAACAGTGAGGGTTGATCGCAGAATCCCCGCCCAATTTATCCTACAAATCTGGGCTCTGTTTATCGAAATCTTAACAAAAGATAAAATCCAAATTTTAGTAGATACTTCAGTTTTGATTGGCTGAGCGCTAAAATCAACCTAATATTATCCAATCAAATAACTAAAATTTGGATTTTATCTTAGTTAAAATTTCGTGAAACAGGCCCCAGACTTCCGTTGACTTCTTCCTGGTGCGGTTGCCCGAACAATGGTTTTCTGACGGGTTTACTAAGCTGGAGAAATGACGTAACATGTACATTAGGTGGCAATGGGTGGATTATGTTGAAAAATAAGTATAATTGTTTTTCGTGTCGATAGCATATTATTTAAGGAGGTATTGAACGTTAGGGCACCCCTCGTGTGTGTAAATATTGTTAATGTTTAGTTGCTGGGGGTTGGATGGCCTAATGGTTAGCATGTGCGCCCTATATCATAAGGTCTCTTATTGAGTCAACATAATCATGTTGAAATATAAGTATAATTGTTTTTCGTGTAGGTAGCATATTACTTGAGTAGGTATGACACGTTAGAATCACCCCTTGTGTATGTGTAAATATTGTTATTGTTTAGTTGCTAGTTTTATGGAGCAGCAAGGAAATGCTGAAGATTAAAACTCGTGTACGAACACATTTCACAGTGTAGCAGCGTTAGGTGGTTGTCTGTTGTCCACGGGACCTCGGTTTGTTCGTCCCATCCGAACAATTAGCTGCTGTTCTTTGCTAGACCCTATGTCCTGCAATACGGACAAAGGACACTACGCTGAAAACTTTCAAGGAAATTAAAGATGTGTTCCCACGAAAGTATAAATAGTGTAGTTATTTTCAATTTAAAAAATATAGCTATTTGGTGTATATGGAAAGTACATATACTCCATCTTATTAGAAAAATACGGAATTCCCTGAAAAGCACCCACAGTACGCTAAAACCATTTATAAGGGTGTCACCAGTGGTAGGGCGACGGCTTGTGGTGTATGCTCGGTAATGTTGATCGAATGGCTAGCGGTTGTCAGACTTAGACTACAGCAGACTCCCTGGTTAAACGACGGAAAAGGGTGTGAGCTGAGGATAATCAATAATTTAATTAGGTTTCGATATTTATGGTCAAGCGACGTGCCAATCAAGGCTTAAAATAGATTTTTGTACGGTTTGGGGTAATTCCTTGCATTAGAGGGCTTTGGAGCATACATTTGATGGATAAATCTGTTTTTAGTCCAAATATATCATCCAATCACATAGTCCGTAGGCTACATGAGAAGTCCTGAAAACAAATTAGATATTGTTCGAAAAATGCAAATGACAATCATCGACTTCTAAGTCACATCAAGGCCAGACTTGTACGGTTTTGTCAGATACAAACTTTCCTCTGATGTCCGTTCCTTCAGGTAACAGAGCGCAATACACTGGTGTTTCAGCACCTAAAATACAAATGAAATGGGTGTTTAACGTCCTACTTTTCTGCAAGAACCTCTTTAATTCAGTGTGCTATGAGGGAAATTATGCCCACGCAGCGGTGTTTTGTCGAAACCCCACTGCCAAGGGTTCGTCTACGTGCCCGCCAACATGTACACGGATCGTGGGTTTTCGTCTCATCAATCCAAACGACAAGTCGATATACCTTGCTAAGTCCTCCGTTCTGCACCACTGAAAAGGGAAAACACGATAGTAAATATCGAGGAACTATCTTGGGGTCAACACCCCCCTCCCACACCCGCTGTTCAAATAGCTTTCGCATCTTTAATATTCTAAAAGAAATACCTTGATCAATAGTCTTAGTTCCTTTATGACTGGTCAGATCTGTATCTACGTAACCAGGGCAACACTGAAAATCATAAAATATACCACATATAACATAGATACATCACGGGTATGGAGGGTGTAGACTTATCAAGGGTATATAGGGTATAGACACATCAATGATATAAAGGGTGTAGACTTATCAAGGGTATAGAGGGTGTAGACACATCAAGGATAGAGGGTATAAACTTATCAGGGGTATAGAGGGTATAGACTTATCAAGGGTGTAGAAGGTGTAGACACATCAAGGGTATAGAGGGTATAGACTTATCAAGGGTATAGAGGGTATAGACTTATCAAGGGTATAGAGGGTGTAGACACATCAAGGGTGTAGACACATCAAGGGTATAGAGGGTATTAACTTATCAAGGGTATAGAGGGTATAAACTTATCAAGGGTATAGAGGGTATAGACTTATCAAGGGTGTAGAGGGTGTAGACACATCAAGGGTATAGAGGGTATAGACACTTCAAGGGCACGCTTTGGAAGATCTCGCGGTACACCTGTGTGCCGCGGTAAACTGGTTGAGAATCACCGGTATAGAGGAAGAGGGTGTAAACACATCAAGGGTATAGAGGGTGTAAAGTCATCAAGGGCATAGAGGTGTAGGTGGACACATCAAGGGTATTGAGTCATCATGGGAATAGTGGGTGTAGACACATCAAGGGTATAGGGACACCAAGAAGGGTTAAGAGTTAAGAGACATCAAGGGTATAGAGACATCAAGGGTATAGGGACATCAAGAAGGGTTAAGAGTTAAGAGACATCAAGGGTATAGAGACACCAAGAAGGGTTAAGAGACATCAATGGTATAGGGACATCAAAGTTATAGGAACATAGAGAGGGTAGAGACATCAAGGGTACAGGGACATCAAAGTTATAAGTACATAGAGAGTGTAGAGACATCAAGGGTATAGGGGGTGTAGAGACATAAAGGGCATAGAGAGGCGCATCAAGGGTGCAGACACATAAAAAATTATCAGGAATATAGATACAGGGACTTACAGCATTCACCACAATATCATCTTTGGAATTAAATTCTCGCTGTTGAACAAACGCCATCACAGTCACACCAACCTTGGACATGGCATACGCATGTTCATGAAAACCAGCCTCAGTAACTTTTCCTGTTTTACTAACACTTAAAATTAAACAAAGAGTGAGAAAGAGAGAGATGGGGTTTAACGTCCACTCGACACAAACTAGGTCAATTTGGGACTAACATATGGTTCAATTTTATTTCAATAATTCGCTTGTTCGTAGGGATCTATAGCAGTGGTAGGAATCGGAGAAAAAAAAAGAGGTTGGACAGGCGATTCTACTCCTTGTCACATACAACCGGGGAATCGAAACAACGACAGTTGAGTCAATATCCACAGGCACTTGAAGGGATTAAAATAAAATTTCGTACTACTGTTTGACTATATATACTCTTCAAAAAAGTAGGGGATATTCAGAAACAATACAAAACTGCGGAAATGCACTGCTGTTTTTATTAGAGGTAACCAGTGTATGTTAATAACAGGTCAATTGCCTACTCATGAACATAAACATTTTATATGGGCGGTTTATCAGACGGCCCCATTACACTCGCAAAGAGATACACTGTCAAAAGTGAAAATGGGCGTTTTTGATTTTTGTCTTAATAATGAGTAATTGCTCCACCCATCCTCAGACATTCAACAATTCGTCCAATCACGATTTGGGACAATCTGACCCACTCCTCTTGCAGTGCCACGGCCAATTCTTGCAGTGTTGACGTTGACGTCGACGAACACGTCTCCCGATCATGTCCCAGGCATGCTCTATAGGGGAAAGATAAGGACTCATGGCTGGCCAAGTCATATGGACAATATGGTGACGCTGGAGGTAGTCATTCACGACACTAGCGCGGTGGGCACGGGCATTATCATCTTGAAAGATGAAATGTCGACCTGCACGTTGAGCAAAGGGCAGAACTATCGGTGCCAGGATGTGGTCACGGTAGTACACACCAGTGACCCTTCCTTGAAAAATATGCAAGTCCGTTCTGTCAGTCATGGTGATTTCTCCCCACACCATAACAGACCCACGCCAGAAACGTTAGCATGACGCTCATTTACACACCTCCAAACGCGAGCACGCCTATCGGTGAAATCCAGAGTAAATCTGGACTCATCTGAGAACATTACACGCGCCCATCGGCGATTACCCCAATTTCTACGCTACCTACACCATTGACGCCTGTGTACGAATGTATCGATCCTGGGCTTGTGTAGTAGCTCTAGGATGACCTGAACGAGGTCTATCATCAACATAGTATGTTTGTTGGTACCGGTTTCACAGTCTGCTGATCACAGAGTGTGACACATTAAGCATGTTTGGCTACTGCTCGCTGTGTAGAACCCATTTGAGGCATGCCAATATGCACGTAGACGTTCATCATGTTGAAGACGTCTCATTGCAAATTAAACGTAACACACTAAAGCAAAGATACGCTAAACAGTAAATCTTATGCAAGAACCGATGGAAAGCAAACATGGATAGGATAAACCAGCACGCGGCAGTTTTCATCAACCCTTCCTTGAAGTGTCAAATTTGATAATGAACCCCTCCCACGTGTATGGCGCTATTGCGTGTCGCACTTGCAGCTCAGTGGTTCTGTTGGGGCGATAAGTTCTTCATCTGTGAACATACATAATATGTAACTATTTATCACATCACAACCTGCATAGGCATTTGCATTTCAATATTCCCTACTTTTTTTGAAGAGTATATTTTGTTTTGACTTGTTGACGACGTTTCGTCTACCATCATCTCACAATACTCACTAGTTCTAGCACTTCCCGTCGTTTTTATTGCCAACGAGATTTCATTGGATCATTATACAGCTTCCAATGTAATTAAATTGGTCATTTTACAGCATTATTAATTACAAATCAAACTTGAAGCGTTATCACTTGACGAAATGAGATCAGTTACGTCTCGTTGGCAATGAAATGTTCATTTTTTTTCCAATCGGTGCCAATAGGTCCCTAACCTCCCTGGGCCTCGGATCACGTCATATTGTATGAGACCCAGTCCGCCTCTTTATCTGTTGAAACAAATATACAAACATGATCATCCAGGCATGGGAAATGAAATGGGGTTTAACGTCCTACTAATCTGCACCAACCGGGATAATGAACACGTGTATGTGCCATGCAGAGTGCTATGAGGAATATTTTGTCCGGTGGCGGCGCTACGGCCTACTGAAGGTGTCTTTTATGCGCAAGCTAACGTTTACACTGGACCTCCGATCCCAATTACTAGACGCTGTTACTTGCCAGGCCCTCCGCCATACACCACTGACAAGGAGGAAACTACGACGGAAAATACCAAGAAACGTTCTTGACCAACAAGGGGAGCGAACTCGAGAATCGTGGTTCCTGAACCAGCGCCTTACTAACTAACTGATGATGTAAAACGTAGCCTACACAAACCATTAATAATCAAATAAATTAACATACTCAACAAAAGTTTGAATAATCTCTTTCAGTTGCTCGATGGTTAACGAAGGATCAAGTAACCTTGCTTGTATTGTGTCTGAACATATATTAACACTCCACTTGGATTTTCTACTAGATACATGGACAATACTACAAAAATAATAAATCATCTAAGTAACTATGTGCGTGTGTGCGTGAGGGAGAGAGACATCCCAAACTTAGGCTGTCTGTCTACAGCTAGCTCCGCCTGAGAACAGGACCTAAGCTAATTACCCGACATTTTAATTCCTACATCGATAATTTTAGTCGAAAACACTGAGTATGCTTTTAGTAATTTTTAGAAGTACATGTATTTATTTCTCTTCTATGTCATATTGAATGAAATTAAATATGTTTATTTAGCCGCTGTGTGTATGAAAGGTGTCAAACTAATCAAAGCCGAATCACAAAATAGTCCTCTAATTATTCAATATGGCGGCGCCCATGAAAGATAATTTCACAGAGGCGGTTTTGTTTGCGAAGACAAATTTAGGAGTATCTAACCTTGTTTTGAAAGATAAACAGATTGAAACTCTAAAGACAGTTTACAATGGCAAAGAATGTATTGCAATATTACCCACTAGCACATATTATATATCGCTTTTACCGGAGTGGCAGAAGTTGAGATTTTGCCAATGACATGTGTATACATTAAACACGTGCTTGATCGGGTTATTTTTACTCTGTTGTGTACACAAAGCAGATGTCCAGTCGATAAGTCCCGCCCCACAATGATCACGTGAGCGTTTAAAATGGAGGCTAACTAGGGCAGTGACCATAATCTCGAAGTATGACGTAGATGGATCTCTGCGTGCAGTTTGGGAGAGAGAGAATAATTTGTTTGGTTCTATACAGGGCATGTGTTAAGGATTATGAAGTACTGGGACATAGTGGGGTCCGGAGGACTTAGGCCTACCTGCGATGAGATGCGAACGCCCTGCGCTTTGTGTTACAAATGTGGGGTTACCTAAAAATGCTACTTCCATGCCTCAAATAGTACCAAATGCGTTAATTTTCACGTGACCTCATCGATATTACCCCTCTGCTTCTATATCCCTTTACATAGCAATGGGATAATTTTTGCCCCACTACTTTCTGTACTGGAAAATGCACTGCCTTTAGGATTTTTAAAATTTGGTTCCTACATCCAGATAAAATGGAAAGTTAAGCCCCTACTCAAATGTTGTTCCTAGCGTTTAACGTCCGCTTCCACCGAAGGTGATATCGCAGACAAGTTCATTTTAATGATCTTAGCGCACGCGCAGGGGTCTTTGCTGTGGGAGGAAACCGGAGTACCCGGAGTAAACCCACGAGGTTGAGAAGGCGCCCCTATCTCCAAGCCACATACGCTCACACCGTACTCAAATTGGCATGGAATCCTTTTAAAACAATTAGACGTCTCTTGTAAAAGGTTTTTAAAAATTATTATATTACCGGGAATGAGGCCTGAGCAGTGGAAACAAAGCATTAGTAACATCTAATGTAGCTGTAAAATTGGTTCTAATCGTCACTTCAGCCCTTTCAGAAAATGGCACAGGTGAATCGATCTGAAATAAATGATGATGATAATGATGACCATCATTATATTTTGTTAATTTGTACAGGTTCCAGCAAATCTGTTTGTTGTCATCCATGATTGTATGACTTGGAACATATTACTGTGCAGTGCCGAATTAGAAGAAGGGAGGCTATATGTTGTTTCACGCATGGGGCCTCACCCATTAGTAACTTTTGGCACTTGGAATTTTTCCCATCCGTATCACGTATCCGTATCGTCACATGATACGTTGCGTCAGTGTAGTTTTTGAGTTTTGGCAGATTTTCGCGCCGCGTACGTATTGGTAGTTGAGCTGAGCTTAGTTCTATTACAGCATGCATGGCAGTTATACCAAGAAAAACACCAGCACTAGTCAAGTGCCAAATCTATTACGGATACGCGATACGCGATCAGGAATTTACGCTTGCCAAAAGTCTCTAATGCGCCATCCTCCTTCACGTTTAGGAAGGCGAGAATGATGACGGAGGTTAACAACTATGTTAAAAAATATAATATACCTTCAGCCTGCTCAGCCTATTGGTAAATCCGTCACTACCTCAGCTGTACGATTCCGGGATTCTATAGCTGGGTCATGAGTAGTTACTGTTTTAGTGTTGATCACTACAACTACCAGATGGGGGTTCATTTTAAGACACGGGCTCACTTACCCCACAGCACACGGCATTGTGCAAAACAGTCTTCATTTGTCCGGTTAACTAAAACCCATTTTATTCCACCTATACTAATATTTGTGACTGTCGTTTGTTTGTCTGTCTGTTCAGGGTTGGCGGCTACACTAGGGCTGTCCCGAGGCTTAAATTTGGTGTATAGGGGTAGCTCGTACCGGGATTCAGACATAGGTCTGGTGACGATACCCGTGTTGCGCCGGGTCAAACGCTAGTTTTCTCATGATTCCGACCTTGACCTTTCGTTTACACTGAGATCAATCATCTCTATGGCTCTTTAAAATATTATCTATTTTTATGTAAGTGTTCTTACACCGTAGCCAATAGCAGCATTATTAACCAACAGATCCAGACCACCATAATTAGATTGAAGATATTGTTTTAATGTTTCAATACTCGACATATCACAAATATCTAACTGATAAAACTCAGGTTTTAAACCTTCAGCATTTAAATCACTCACAGCCTTTTTACCCAAATCTACATTCCTCGCTGAAAAAACAAAAACAAAAAAAAACAACAACAATCGGTTGCCATGCAAGATACGCTCACATTTTAGAATAGTTGGACGGGGAACAGGGAAATCAATAGGGCTCATCCTCTCACTGTCCCAATGCTTCACATCGAATTTGAAAAAGCATTATATCGCGTGCACATGGTCATGGTTTTTGGAAAATGGGGGTTACTCCTTAACCAAAAGTCATGGAACGCTGAACTTTAATAGGGTTCGTGCTCTCATTACCCCAATGCTTCACACTATAATATTTGAAGTAAATCAATTAAAAAAGGTTTTCGGCAAAGGGGGGGGGGGGGTAACCCCTGAGCGGAAATTTAACGGAACAATGAATACCGATAGGTTTCGACCCCTAATGAACCCAATGCTTCACACCAAATTTGAAACAAATCTGCTACAGACTATAGCCGCTACCGCGGTATTCGGAAAAGGCAACAAGATTTTTTTATGTTAGGTTTCATCTAAATCAGACAAACATTTTAGCCCGAAGTTATGCCCTGATTTTTACACTTCCTTGATTATTGTGTAATGAACATTTATATGTAATAGGTATTTGAAATGGAATAAAAACTGTGACCTCTAGTGGGTGCACAAATACATTAATTCAGACCGCATAAGTTAAGTATGGGACTGACACTGTCACGTCTGCGCAATATCTGTTCTCTCTACGTTTTAGAACTGAAATTGGTTCTACGTTTCTGCAACAACTGGTCTAATGAAGCAGGCCTACTGTGTGCTATTAAAGGGATAAATTTTACCGGTCCGCCAACGCATACCAGACGCCTTTCCTTGCCCCTGCTCTGCTCTGTTCTACTGACACGGGGGCACCATAGGGTGGATAATTCCGAGGAACTCAGGTTATCCTGGTTAAGTAACCAACGCCATACATACACATTGAGGGGTGGCCTAGAAATGGTTCCACTACTAATGTCTTCCGTCTTGCTCCAGCTACAGTAGTGGACCGTCCTAAGGCCTTCCTTTGAACAAGTTTTGTAGTCAATTGACTAAAAAATGTTACTGGCCTATAACTCCCTTAATTTCCAATAACACTGACCAAACTGTACTGTACATAGCTTAACATATAATAAACCAATTCCCATTGAAATAAAGGTGAAACCTTACCGTATAATTATATGATTTGATTATACAAACTGCTATGCGAAATTTCTGTTCAGTTTAAAATGGCTGCCGAACCAGAATCACGGGGTGTCATGTCACTCGAAAAGCTGTTCGGTAAGATAAGATTATGATTTCAGTATCCCACTCTTCACTATTTGTACCATAATTACTTATTTGCATGCAAACTGTGAAGATATGTGTTGAGTATTTTGCAATTGAACCTAATTTTACTTGCTCAAAGATTCGAATAGTGTATCAATTGGAGCCGTAGATAAGAATTATCACGGCTAAAAATTGCAGCTAAGGGGTGGCCCAGTTGTTTTGAGTGTCTGGGTGGCCAGTCACCTCTGCCTTGCGGTTGTGGTTTCTATTCCTCGAGATGGAGGCACCTGTCTCAAACTCGGGGTTTACTCCCACTACTCCGGTTTCCTCAAACAAGAAGGGTCCCCTGCGCGTTCGCCAAGCATAATAAAATAAGAGAACTCTATATGACACTCGATAAACATTAATAAAAGAATAAAAACTGAGTCACCGCGGTTCATGGCTACCGCCATATTTTGAAATATGAAAAAATTGGGTGAACAGTAATACCAACCTGTTAGAATAACATCACCTTTGAACTGTTTACATAAAGCTCTTACGATACCAAAACCTACACCTTTATTTCCACCTGTTACCTGAAGGAAAAAAATAAAACATAAGTCATTAAAAACAAATTCAAGAGACTCCATAAAAATGCCAGGAATCAGACCACCGAATAGTCCACTCAATTGGCAAAACTCATTAATGTAGTTGAAAACCTACACCCTTATTACCTCCTGTTACCCGAAGGTAAAAAAACCCAAAACAATCCAAGTTAAGCGAATGAATGAGTACAATTTACCACTGACAAAGGATGCACCACACCAGAAAAACTATAGGAACGTTCTCGGGCAACGCCATGGTTGAACCCGGAATCTCCTGGTTAGCGAGCATGCGTCTTACTCCATTATCGAACCTAGTTTAGGTATTTTTTTTTATAAACATTATTTTTATTCAGGATGTCTGAATGGGATTGGGAAACAGGCTCAGCTTGTGTAAAACCCCTCTCCCTAGATAATATACATACATAATATTAAAAATAGTATTGATGTAATGAAACTACAAACCAAGTTTCGTCGCGGTCATCCCATTAGGGGAGGTGGTTCATTGAGTATGAAGCTGGCCCGCTTGTCTGGAGGTCTTGGGTTCGCTTCCGTTGTTAGCCAAGTTTCCCTTTGTCAGTGGTACCGGACGGAGGGTCTGACAAGGACAGCTGTCTAGTCGTTCGGATGGGACGGAAAACCGAGGTACACATTGGCATGGACGTAAAAGAACCCTTGATATCCGGGCAAAATATTCATTAAAGCACTGCATGGTGTATACCCGTCTTCATTAGAATCTAGTACACCTTGACGGACAGGTAAAAATAATTGTCCTATAGCACACTGCAGGCCTATGTCTGTCTTACATTAGACCAGTCGCTGCAGAGGATGTTAAACACAATTTCATTTCATTTCACTTCATTAGAATCAGAGCTATAGTGTTCCAAAAAATGGACAAATCAAATTGCTTACCTCGGCTTTGCTTAAAGATACATTATGGAAGATTAGATAAAGAGCTGGCAGTTCTCACTATAATAGTTAAAAACTAGATAATGTAAAGGCAATTTGCTGAAAATTTCAGTCAAATTGATCCACTATGAACCGAGATTTTAGCGATTGAATTTTCGGCCTAGCCTTGATCATCATTACTGAAGTCGGTAGGATAAAAAAAACATAGTCTCGATTATCCATTTCGTGATTTAATTATGATTGGAAGTCCAACAGCAAATCGGAACTTAATCCAATAAACATTGCAGCCTAGCGGTGCCATCGAGGGTTGATTATGTTCTGGATAAGTTAATTGATATCTAATTAATAACTTAGATAACATTTCAGGCCTAACGAAAGACCTGCAACAGGCAGATTTAGCTCTTGCATAATGTCTGTTTAAGCACAATGTGCTCATCATCGATCCCAGGCAAGACATTTACGGAATGAACATCTACAACAAGTTCGATAACTCTACACCCCAGTTAATTAGAACTAGAGTTATTGTGTTCCAATGGTCTCAATGATCTTCTGATTGCCATGGTTTATAAATGGTGTCAGTGGTGGCTTCCAAGGTGGATGTGACTCTCGTTCAAGATTCTATCGAAATCCTGATAGTAAGATGATGATGACCATGAAGATGATTTATTTATTTATTTGTAAAAATGTAAGATATAATACCTTTGAAATTTTTACATTTTAGCAATGTTTTCAGATCCACAATATCAGTATTGTAAATAATCATGATATAATAGAAATAAAATATTGTTTAAACCAACCATCATCTCAATACTGTGCAAAATGCGAAAACGGGAACAAGACATGACAAAACTAACTCCCCACTGCTACACGTCCAGTTGCCATGATTTATGATGGTGTCAACAGCTTGAAAAATGTACGGTTGCTGGGGAAGGACATCCAACAATTTTATTTTAAGCAGATTATCTGTCAAAACGGGAACGGGACATGATGAGCCATAGATATAGTATTATATAATATAATATATTCTGCAAGGGAGTACTAGTAGGGCGTGTGTCAATTTTATGTAGACTTGGTTGTCAAATTAGAAAAATAAAGAATAAAGTAACCTGACTAATCTTTGCAGGGTTACAAGATAAGATAAGTGAAACAAATGAAAATAATGAAATGAAATGGGGGTTAACGTCCTATTTTTCTGCTCCGACTGGGCTAATGAAGACGGGCATACGCCATACGGTGTGCTATATATGAGAGACATTTTGCCTAGACAGTGGCGCTAAAGGGATATTTTACGTGCACGCAGGACCTCGGTTTTTCGTCCCATCCAAACGACCAGACAGCTCTCCTTGTCAGGCCCTCCGTCTGAAACAAATGAAATGAGGGTTTCAAATCCTACCAATCTGATTAAAATACAGATCTATATTTCGTTCCGTTTTTTATACTTTCGATGGCCTACACAATATATATCTATATGTATGGCCTACCCTACATGAGGATCTAGTGCAATCTGTTTTACAGAGAATTACGAGTCCTCTAATATCTCTGTAAAAGATGACTGCCTTTAACACGTGCCGTCACAGCACGCGGCGTCAATCATTGGCTGAATGGCGCGTGTATTGTTTACATAAGACGTTACTGCTTCGGGCAGAATGTTACCTTTTAGTCATTTTAATACCCATTTACACTAAATAGGAAATAATTTTTACCTACAAATACGTCAAACGTCTTTATTTATTTTTCTAACACATCAAAAAAATGTTTTAGAATTTAATTTGTCGGTGGATAAAAGTTAATATTTGAGACTCATTAAGTCGCATTGATGTCATCCTTATCAGTGATTGTAGCGGCCTAGCGAATATTCACCTCTGATCAGTGTGGATCTAGTGTAGTAAAGACAAGTAAAACGAAATTTTAAAAAAAAGAAACGAAATAGTATCTGTGTTTTAATCCGATTGAAATCCTACCGTTCTTCTCCTACATGGCCATACAGCAGAGCATATTTTAACGTGCCTTGGAGCACGTCCGTGCTCTGATGAGCGAAGTCCGTGCTCTGATGAGCGAAAACCGTGCTCTGAGAAATATGAAGACGTGCTCTCAAAAAGTTTCAATTTGGGCAAAAAGGCGCGCCAGGTGTTACTGAATACAGGCCCATCTTTCTACCAAGTCCATATCTTTTGGAAAATTTGAATCGGAGTTATGATTCGTTGTTTTTTCTTTATAGTTTAAAGGGTTGTCTCCTTTTTCAAATTTCGCTGATTCCAACTTGGTTTGAAACTGTAGTTTTACCGAACTTGGGTAAAAAGACACATATAAATTAATTTTCTTAACAAATTTGTACAGAATTTTAACACATAAAAATTTATTTATTGTGTTTTAAGGATCGGTTCTTTGAAATAATAGCCTCTTTCATTTGAAATAATAGCCTCTTTCATTTCCTTGCTGCCGATATACGATTAGAAACCTTGATACACTTATTTGGACGGTTTTGGGTGGGGGTAGGGGGGGGGGGTGGCTCCCCCAGACAGTTTTGAAAAACAGACTGCCGGAAATGCAGTCTGACAAGACAAATAGATCTGACCAGATACCACCCCTCGTGAGCGCCAAAGTAGTGAGCCCTTACGGAGGGTACGGGGGACCTTCCCGAGAAATTTTGAAAAATAGACAGCCGGAAATGCAGTCCTACAGTATTCAGGCACTGATTGTCGAGATAAATACAGCTGACCAGATAGCGCCTCTCGTCGGATTACTATACTGATGTACAAAAGAAAGTATACACACTAAAAGTATGACTAAGTTTTGTTTAGATTAAAAACATTTGATAAAGCATTACTGAGTTTGTCTCTTGTGTCCAAACTTGACATTTCTACGCAAAATAAAAATGTGAAACAAATTGACATTCTACCCAAATACCGTATATACGATAGAAAAACGACTTTGGTTGATGCAGCACAAAATGCACAGTGTATACTTTCTTTTGAACATTAGTATAGTTTATCCAGCCACGGACTAGGTAAATCGAAGTGAATGAGTATTCTCTATATCCTAAAACTTTGAGGATGTTGAAGGCACTTCACAAGTAATTCAGTGTTATTGTTTCTAGTAGGTTTACAGCAGGATGGGTTCCGTAAGAAATCACTCGGTCTCTACAACATGCAAGTTTATGACTGACTGCACTGCCAGTCAGTCAAATGACTGCAACTCGAAAACAACTTCACCAGGAAAGGGTTCACTCCCCTCAGCTGCTCAAGTCTCTCCCCTTCAACAACCCTAGAGATTCACTGTTTTATAATCAATTCCACAAAAACAATTGTGTTTGATCTTTCTTTTTTATTCTTTTATATACATAACAATAGTTTTGTTTTCTTTCATATAATAATAATACACGCTTTAATACATAATAATTACATAATATACTATTTATATATCTACATGAATATTCATTAACTTAAATTACAGCTAGTTGTATTTACATAAATATTCATGAACTTAAATTACAGCTAGTTGTATTTACATGAATATTCATTAATTTAAATTACAGCTAGTTGTATCTACATGAATATTCATGAACTTAAATTACAGCCAGTTGTATCTACATGAATATTCATTAATTTAAATTACAGCTTATTGTATCTACAGTACATGAATTTTCATTAACTGTGTTATCTTATTTAGGTCACATTTGCTCTGGTCCTCACAGACTATATAAAGAGGGCAACCACACTTTTTCATTTAAGCCTGAAAAGTTCGAACTGAACAAAACTAGTCGCTTCTTGAGAGAAATCTTGGAAGACTGTTCCCCAACTAACAGATTTTTATTCCTTATTTTCGATAACAAAAATGTATATCGAAACACTCCATTTACAAGTACAAGTATATACAGGATTGTTCTATCACATTATTCTATCATCACACATTAATTAAAAAACACTCAATAATATACACTGGTAAATACAAATAAAGCTTTTAGCTTAAGTTCCACTGACTGGTATTTCAGGGGTTGTTAATGCCTTACAAACCACGATCAGGGCCGGTTGTAGAAAATGCAGGGCTCAATTTGGGAGGCCCGAAATTACAGGATATGAATACGTTGCAGGATATGAATAACTATAACTTGAGGCCAACTATGCTTTACTTCAGAATTAGTAATTAATTAATACCTGAAAATAGCCACACCTGGCTGGAAAATTTTAAGCTGGTGAGCTGTTTGTAGCAAGATAAAAGTATGGTAGAGGCATTACAATTTTAATTAATATCAAGACAACCATTCTTATTTTAACCAACAATTGTCTACACATTTAGTAGCATTTTAACAACATATCACTCATTCTTCATCTGATGAACAAACACAAAATGATGAAAGATACTATTATGTACCATGGACCAATCAAGGGCCATGTGACTTAGACCAATCAAGGGCCATGTAACATAGACCAATCAAGGGCCATGTAACATAGACCAATCAAGGGTCATGTATCATAGACCAATCAAGGGCCATTTAACTTAGACCAATCAAGGGCCACGTGACTTAGCCCAATAAAGGGTCATGTAACTTAGACCAATCAAGGGCCATGTAACATAGACCAATCAAAGGCCATAGACTGACTGAAATCAAGGGATATTTCATCTTCATCCTAGTTTTGTGCAATAATATTACAAAATGTCTGTGTTACGTTTGTATAGATAATAGAGATTTGTTTACTATCAGGAAACATTGTCTTTATCCGCCATTTGTTTAGGATTATCAGTATCATAAATTTCTTTCGCAGCTTCGCGTATCTGTGACACGTAACCTTCATCATCTTCTATAGCTCGTAATCCTGAAATTACACAATAACACACATTATTACCGAGGCCAGAATAACGGAAATAAAAATCTAATAAAATCAATGTTTTACCTTTGTTAATGTCTCGGAAATCATTTGAGGGATCAATCTAATTAAAATATAGATCTATATTTCGTTTCGTTTTTTTTACTTTCGATGGCCTACACTACATGTAGATCTAACAAGTTACATGTAGATCAAACAAGTTATATCAGTACCAGAATGGTCCAATTCTGTTCAGCATCAACAAATATATGATGAAACTGAACATTCTACAACATTATGCAATATGCATTCTATGTAGGCAGTATAAACAACCAGTGCCACCTATCAGTGTTGAGTAGAATTCTTTGATGGGCCTCTTTTATTGCAATGAAATCGAAGCCAGTGGACTATCAACCGTTGATATTTGGTTTTGTGTTCTTAATTAAGTGTTAATTAATCAGTACCACTTCATGAGCCTATTTGGTGCATTAATCATGATGTTAAACCACATTTCAACCACATGTACATATAATTGGATGATAACAATAGTCTCTAGAGGGACCACAAGATTTTTTTCAAGGGCAATAACTCTGTGAAGGCAATTATTATAAACTGTTGAAAATCACTATATGATTTGTCCTCTCATGAACATAAACAATGTGTTTAAATTTCAAGTTAATTGGATGAGACCATTAACCTCTAGAGCACTCACTAGCAATTGTGGACAACCGACGGACAGACAGGGATGACGACAATATATAAGCACATCTCTATGTTGGCATATATAAAATATAAAATATGTTAATTACATCAGTGGTATATGGAGCAACTATCATTTAACCAAATATTTTCTTTTTTATTTTGTCCAGAAAACCTTCTCCCTCATCATCCGAATATTTCTGTCCTGTCGTCACTTTTTCTTTGTCTTCCTTTCCATCTGGAAACAGAAAGGAAGTAAAAAAAAATATCAATAACATGAACAAAACAAAAGATAGGTTGCCAGGCTACAAAACAGAGAGAGAGAGAGAGAAATGGGGTTTAACGTCCACTCGACACAAACTAGGTCATTTCGGGACTAACATATGGTTCAATTTTATTTCAATAATTCGCTTGCGCGTAGGGGTCTTTAGCAGTGGGAGGAAACCGGAGGACCCGGAGAAAACCCACGAGGTTGGACAGGCGACCCTACTCCTTGTCACGTACAACCGGGGATTCGAAACCACGCCAGTCGACTCAATGACAGACTTTATGATACAGCGCTTGCTCGCTAACCATTCAGCCATCCAACCCCCCGCTACAAAACAGACGACCACAGTTGGCTGCGAATCAATGAAATGGAGGTCCACAGTAGCTAGGAATGGTCCTCTAAGGTAGGGTCCAATTACAAAACAAAAGGGTCTTTAGCAGTAGAAGGAAACCAGAGCATCCAATGTAAACCCATAAGGTTAAAGACAACCATACTCCTTCCCTTGTCATGTATAACTGTGAGATCGAAACCACTCTACTTGACTAAATAACAGATCATTTGGTCTCCCGAACAGCCCCTCCCCCCACACCTCATTCCAAGAATGTAAGGAATGCTTCTCCTTATTATGATGTAACTCTCCTTGTCTACCAAATCTCTCATCATGTCCAAACTTGTGGGACGTTTTAGGAGAGTGATTTTTGATGTTTTTGAATAATTAAAGGAGAGATCTTTTCAGCTCACCAGACAAATATACTTGTGTGATAAAACAGATAGACTTAGTAACATGGTGTGACTAACCTATACTGGTATGACCGGTGTGATATATCAGATTAACTAACATACTGGTGTGACTGATATATCAGATTGACTAACATATACTAGTGTGACTGACAGAACAGATTGACTAACCCATACTAATGTGACTGATAAAACAGATTGACTAACATACTAGTGTGACTGATATATCAGATTGGCTAACATATACTAGTGTGACTGACAGAACAGATTGACTAACATATACTAGTGTGACTGATAAAACAGACTGACTAACCTATACTGGTATGATAAAACAGATTGTCTAACCTGTACTGGTGTGATAGAACAGATTGACCAACTGGTGGGCTAACATACTGGTTTGACTAACATTTACTGGTGTGACTGATAGAACAGATTGACTAACATACACTGGTTTGATAAGATTACCAAATATACCAAATAAATATTGAGATTACTATGAATAAATTATCACGATGGTTGCTCCATAACACCACGCCCAGAAAAACAAGAAACAACATTTGCCCAACTAATGAAGAGAAGATGACAATATATACCTGTTTTTGTTTGTGTTATACCATTCACTGTGCCTTCTATTTTTTTCTCGGTTTCAGCGTACGATAAAATCAAAGCCTTTTGTTGTGGAGATAATTTACTAGGAAAAAAATGTAATAATTAAAGACACATTATGTGAGATTAGATAAAGAGCTGACAGTTCTCACTATAATAGTTAAAAACTAGATACTGTAAAGTGAATCTGCTGAAAATGTTTAGTCAAATTGATCCACTATGAACCATTTCATGATTAAATCCGAAATGAAAGTTGAGCAGCAAATCAGATTATAATCCAAAAAACATCGCAGGCTAGCATTGACATCGAGAGTTGATTATGGTCTGAATAAGTTAATTAATGTCTAATTAATAATTTAGATAACATTTCAGGCCTAAAGAAAGATCTGCGATAGGCAGATTTAGCTCTTGCATAATGTATGTACTTTGTTCAACAAGAAATATAGTTTTACATTCCTGACTTATTTATTGTTTAGGAAGCAGGGAAGGGAGGCAGGCATCCACCACTCTACTCTAATAAAGTTATTTTAAAACTCTGCTCCCCTTCCCCCAATGGTGTACACTCGATTTATTAGACTAATGTCTCTTGTGAACCACTAGACTACATGGAGCCAAACTAGGATTGAAAACTGAAACTCCAGGTTAGTGAGACACCTCTTCTTATATTGAAAGTTTTAGGTATAGTGTTACTATTTATATACATCTAAAGATACCTATGAAGGGCAGATAACTAGCTTATCATTTGATGTATATTAGAATGATGAAGTAAAAGTGATTGATAATGTATATATAATGTATATATACTTACGTTGGAATTTTAATTTTGATGTGTAAATAATGATCACCAGTACCGTAACTATTAACACGTGTAATACCTTTACCTTGTAGACGTATTCTATCATGTGACTGTGTACCTGCTGGTATCTGTAACATAAACATACATAATATTTACAGGATGAGAGAGGCAGGGGGATAGAGTTTAGAACATTCTATCATGTGACCAAGCATCTGGTGGTAACTGTAACTGTAATATATATATACGATGAACTGAAGTTTAACATCCTACTTTTCTGCACTGACTGGGCTAATGAAGCAGAGCAATATTATTTCCACAAATCAAAAAAAAAAAAGAATAGAGCGAGAGAAATGGGGTTTAACGTCCACTCAACACAAACTAGGTCATTTCGGGACTAACATATGGTTTAATTTTATTTCAAAAATTCGCTTGCGCGTAGGGGTCTTTAGCAGTGGGGGGAAACCGGAGTACCCGGAGAAAACTCACGAGGTTGGACAGGCAACCCTAATCCTTGTCACGTAAAAAAAAAAAAAGAAAAAAAAAAAGAAATTGGAATTAACTTTAACACAAACTAGGTCATTTTGGGACTAACACACAGTACCTCTTTATTTCCATAATTTAGTAGTGTGTAAGGACCGTTAGTAATGAGAATAAACATTAGAGAAATCACACCGCTTGATTCAATGACAGCCCAAATGATCTAAAGTGTGTATAATAACAGTTTGTCCATAATCTGTTCCATTTTTATGGATCAAAATTAAAAAGGTGTTTATCATATGCTACGTATATATTTTACTAACTTTTCTGGGAAGTAATAATGTCACAGGATTTTTATGTATGCTCGCACCACCCAAACAACCTGGTTATTTCAATTCAATATTTCGGGCTTTAGTAGTGGGAGGAAACCAGAGAATCCGGAAAAAATCCATAAGGCTGACAGACGATCCTACCCCCAGAGAAATGGGGTTTAACGTCCACTAACATATGGTCCAATTTTATTTCAATAATTCACTTGCGCGTAGGGGTTTTTAGAAGTGGGAGGAAATCAGAGAAAACCCACCAGGTTGGACAGGCGACCCTACTCCTTGTCACATACAACCGGGGATTCGAAACAACACCAGTTGACTCAATGACAGACCTCAATGATACAACACGCACACGTTAACCATACAGCCATCCAACCCCCCTCCGAGCATGCACAGGTCTTGGGTTGAAATAAAAACACTTAACTCAATGACATGTCACCTTAAGTACATGCATCAAATAATTTTAACAAGCCAACAGTGAGGCTGATGTCCCCCGCCGAAATCCCAAAATAAATAGATGACACATTAATTAATCGCACATTTATTTTTTTCAAAAGTATCGAGCAATCAAATTATACACTAAGTTTGAGCACTCTCTATCAGATAGAATCAAAGTTATCTTGTCCCAAAGCATCGACCAATGTTAATAATTGAACTCAGCCATGACATGACAGCAGAAAATACTCATTATCAAACTTAGTCAAGGTAATGATATAATAAAGCTATACACCAAGTGTCCTCACTCTCACTTAATTAGAACTAAAGTTATCGTGTCCCAAAGCATCAACCAATCAAATTGCTTATCCCTGCTTACTCTAAGCAAAAAATTCTCATCTTCACACTCCATCAAGGCATTCACCTAATAGCCACCTATGCCAAGTGTGAACATTCTAACTCAACTAGAATGAGAGTTATTGTGTTCTAAAGTCTCGACCAATCAAATTGCTTATCTCTGCTTAACCTAAGCACAAAATGCTCATCTTCGAACTCCATCAAGACATTAACCTAATAAACACCTACACCAAGTTTGAACATTCTAGCTCAATTAGAAAAGGAGTTAATGTGTTCCAAAGTCTCGGCCAATCAAATTGCTTATCGCTCTGCTTACCCTAAGCAGAAAATGCTCATTATCGAGACTTAGTCAAGGTATTGATATAATAAAGCTATACACCAAGTGTCCTCACTCTCCCTTTTAATTAGAACTAAAGTTATCAGGTCCCAAAGCATCAACCAATCAAATTGCTTATCTCTGCTTACCCTAAGCGGAAAATGCTCATCTTCGAACTCCATCAAGGCATTGACCTAATCAACACATACACCAAGTTTGAACATTCTAGCTCAATTAGGAAGAGAGTTATCGTGCCCCAAAGTATCAACCAATCAAATTGCTTATCTCTGCTTACCCTAAGCGGAAAATGCTCATCTTCGAACTCCATCAAGGCATTGACCTAATAAACACATACACCAAGTTTGAACATTCTAGCTCAATTAAAAGTTATCGTGTCCCAAAGCATCAACCAATCAAATTGCTTATCTCTGCTTACCCTAAGCGGAAAATGCTCATCTTCGAACTCCATCAAGGCATTGACCTAATCAACACATACACCAAGTTTGAACATTCTAGCCCAATTAGGAAGAGAGTTATCGTGTCCCAAAGCATCAACCAATCAAATTGCTTATCTCTGCTTACCCTAAGCGGAAAATGCTCATCTTCGAACTCCATCAAGGCATTGACCTAATAAACACATACACCAAGTTTGAACATTCTAGCTCAATTAGGAAGAGAGTTATTGTGTCCCAAAAAGTGTGACGGACAGACAGACGGACAGACAGATGGACAGACAGACAGACAGACAGACAGACAGACAGACAGACGGACGAACCCATTTTAATAGTCCCCTGCTTTCTTCGAAAGGCGGGGGACAAAAAATATATATATTAAAGATACATTATGGGAGATAAGATAAAGAGATGGCAGTTCTCGCTATAATAGTTAAAAAAACTAGATAGTTTAAAGGTAATTTGCTGAAAATTTCAGTTAAATTGATCCACTATGAGCCGAGAAAGAAGCGGGTGAAATTTTTGCATAGTCTCGGTCATCATTACTAAAATCATTAATATAAACAGCATAGTCTCGATTATCCACTTTTTTGATTTAATTATCAATGGCCGTTAGCGGCATATAGGAATCTAATCCAGCCAACATCGAAGGCTAGCCTTGACATCAAGAGTTTATTATGGTCTGGATAAGTTAATTAATGTCTAATTGATAATTTAGATAACATTTCAGGCCTAAAGAAAGACTTGTAATAAGCAGATTTTGCTCTTGCATAATACATGTTTAACTTGTATGTATCCTTTCCCAAACCAACTAACAAGGTCATTCTGGGACTAAGATACATGTATGGTATATTTTTATTTAATAATTCGCTTATGCGTAGGGGTCTTAAACCATGGGAGAATCTGGAGAACAACCTGCATCGTACAGGCCTGGGTTCAAAATCACAACACTTAACTGAATGAGAGACCTTATGATCTAAAGTGCACATATCACACCTTCCCAAATACTTACATTTAATATAATATCATCATAAATACCAGGTGTTCGTATAGAGCCACCTAAAACAGCTTGTGTTAAAGTTATATGAACATCACTATGTACATCAGCACCTTCTCGTCGAAATATACGACTTTTAGCCACCTAAAATATATTCACATTGAAATAACATCTTTCAATAGTCAACAAAACACTCCAGTAGATGAATAAAATTGTGGAATCACATGAAAGAATTCCCATACTCACCTAACATTATTAATCATAATATCAAATAATTGTATACTGCCTCAAACCCTACCTAATACAAGCAAACTTGGCGATAGTCCTCAACATACATGTATACACTACTCCATACCCTATAGATTACGAGCCCATCTGGATGCAGTCCTTGAAATACATACCACCTTATACCCTACATATTACAAAATATACCACATTATACCCTTTTTACTACAAGACCATTTATAGGCAGTCCAAGAAATGTATACAGCCTCATAGCATACCTGTTACAAGCATTACACAATTCTATGGAATACAATTGCAAATACTCTTTAATGCTGAGCAACGTTTCAATTACTAATTGCCATACAATCTGTTACAAGCACATTTGGTGGTAGTCCTTGAAATGTTTTTCCGAGTTACGACTATTCAGGCAAAAAGAAAGTAGAAAAAAGACTGGGCTGCAGCAATCATTAGAAATCTTCAGGCAACTTTCAGGTCAATAATTGTCAAAAAATTCAGGGGAAAGTTTTACATCTTTCCTAATCATCCATGCTACTTACAGGGTGATGTATAATATTTTGGAGTAAAAGGAAAAACTTACTCTAAATGTGATAAAAACTTCTTGTGATCCTAAGGGCATTCGGACGGTTTGACCATCTTCAACACCTAAAATACACAATTATCAGTAAATATACAATAAAAATCAGTAAATAGACAATAAATATCAGTAAATAGACAATAAATATCAGTAAATAGACAATAAATATCAGTGAATAGACAATAAATATCAGTGAATAGACAATAAATATCAGTAAATAGACAATTAATACCAGTGAATAGACAATAAATATCAGTAAATAGACAATTAATATCAATAAATATACAATAAATATCAGTGAATAGACAATAAATATCAGTAAATAGACAATAAAAATCAGTAAATAGACAATAAATATCAGTAAATGGGCAATAAGAGAGAGAGAGAGAGAGAGAGAGAGAGAGAGAGAGAGAGAAATGGGGTTTAACGTCCACTCGACAAAAACTAGGTGATTTCGGGACTAACACATGGTTCAATTTTATTTCAATCATTCGCATGTGCGTAGGGGTCTTTAGCAGTGGGAGGAAACCAGAGGACCCGGAGAAAACCCACGAGGTTGGACAGGCAAAAATGGGCAATAAATATCAGTAAATAGACAATAAATATCAGTAAATGGGCAATAAATATAAAAACAAGCCAACAGTGAGGCTGATGTCCCCCGCCGAAATTGCAAAATAAATAGATGACACATATTAATTAATCGCACATTTATTTTTTTCACTAAGTTTCATCACTCTCTATCAGATAGAATCAAGATTATCTTGTCCCAAACCATCGACAAATGAAATCGATTAGCTCTGCTTAGCTTCAGCTCGAAATGTTAATTATTGAACTCAGTCAAGACATTCACCTAATGAACATCTACATATACATCAAGTTTAAACATTCACCTAATAGACACCTATGCCAAGTTTGAACATTCTACCTCAATTAGAACGAGAGTTATTGTGTTCCAAAGTTTCTACCAATCAAATTGCTTATCACTCTGCTTACCCTCAGCAAAAAATGTTCATTATCGAACTTAGTTAAGGTATTCATATAATAAATCTATACACCAAGTTTCATCAATCTCACTTAATTAGAACTAAAGTTATCGTGTCCCAAAGCATCAACCAATCAAATTGCTTATCTCTGCTTACCCTAAGCGGAAAATGCTCATCTTCGAACTCCATCAAGGCATTGACCTAATCAACACATACACCAAGTTTGAACATTCTAGCTCAATTAGGAAGAGAGTTATCGTGCCCCAAAGTATCAACCAATCAAATTGCTTATCTCTGCTTACCCTAAGCGGAAAATGCTCATCTTCGAACTCCATCAAGGCATTGACCTAATAAACACATACACCAAGTTTGAACATTCTAGCTCAATTAAAAGTTATCGTGTCCCAAAGCATCAACCAATCAAATTGCTTATCTCTGCTTACCCTAAGCGGAAAATGCTCATCTTCGAACTCCATCAAGGCATTGACCTAATCAACACATACACCAAGTTTGAACATTCTAGCTCAATTAGGAAGAGAGTTATCGTGCCCCAAAGTATCAACCAATCAAATTGCTTATCTCTGCTTACCCTAAGCGGAAAATGCTCATCTTCGAACTCCATCAAGGCATTGACCTAATAAACACATACACCAAGTTTGAACATTCTAGCTCAATTAAAAGTTATCGTGTCCCAAAGCATCAACCAATCAAATTGCTTATCTCTGCTTACCCTAAGCGGAAAATGCTCATCTTCGAACTCCATCAAGGCATTGACCTAATCAACACATACACCAAGTTTGAACATTCTAGCCCAATTAGGAAGAGAGTTATCGTGTCCCAAAGCATCAACCAATCAAATTGCTTATCTCTGCTTACCCTAAGCGGAAAATGCTCATCTTCGAACTCCATCAAGGCATTGACCTAATAAACACATACACCAAGTTTGAACATTCTAGCTCAATTAGGAAGAGAGTTATCGTGCCCCAAAGTATCAACCAATCAAATTGCTTATCTCTGCTTACCCTAAGCGGAAAATGCTCATCTTCGAACTCCATCAAGGCATTGACCTAATAAACACATACACCAAGTTTGAACATTCTAGCTCAATTAAAAGTTATCGTGTCCCAAAGCATCAACCAATCAAATTGCTTATCTCTGCTTACCCTAAGCGGAAAATGCTCATCTTCGAACTCCATCAAGGCATTGACCTAATCAACACATACACCAAGTTTGAACATTCTAGCCCAATTAGGAAGAGAGTTATCGTGTCCCAAAGCATCAACCAATCAAATTGCTTATCTCTGCTTACCCTAAGCGGAAAATGCTCATCTTCGAACTCCATCAAGGCATTGACCTAATAAACACATACACCAAGTTTGAACATTCTAGCTCAATTAGGAAGAGAGTTATTGTGTCCCAAAAAGTGTGACGGACAGACAGACGGACGGACGGACAGACGGACAGACAAACAGACAGACAGACAGACGGACAGACAGACGGACGAACCCATTTTAATAGTCCCCTGCTTTCTTCGAAAGGCGGGGGACAATGAAACTAAATGGGGTTTAACTTGTCCGAACAACAGGGGATCTTTTAGTAAGTGTTGCCAAGGGTATACACAGAACTGTGGTTTACATCAAATCCAAACGATTCGAATCTGTTCCTTGCCATGCCGTCCATACTGCACCACTGGCAATAAGGGATATGAAATGAAATGGAATGTGTCATACAAGGTGCTATGAAGGAAATTCTGCCATGACAGCAGCACTATCGCCATCTCTTATTTCAAATTTGAATTTCAATGTGTACACGGGACCTAGGTTTTTTGTCCCATCAAAATGACTATACAACGTCCCATGCCAGGCCCTCCATCCTGTTCCATTGACAAAGGTGAACCACTCCGGAAAATCTCGACATTTTTTCAGTCAACACTGGTATCAACGACATACTCACCACGACACGAGAAGACAGTTAAATAATATTTACCTGCAGGAACAGGTACAACTACTTTTTTCCGTAAAATCATTTTTCCTTTCCCCGCACATTCTGAACAAGGATTTTTAATAATAACTCTAGACCCGTAACAATGTCGACACGTTGATCTCATCATAAACGGACCGGTACTGATGGTCTCCTATAAAAACAATAACATACATACATCAAAATAAATGAAATGGGGTTTTAATTGATCTGCACACCAATCTGCCTGTAGATGGGCATATGCGATATATTCAGTATGCTATGAGGGAAATTGTGATCAGATAGTATCACTTACGCTTACTCTAATTTCAACTGTCAAGGATTTTACTTTACAACATGTACAACTAAACATAAAAATAACGTTGACTGTCCCTTAAAAACAGAACGACACGGCCCATTTTATTTAAAAGAGAGAGAGAAATGGGTTTTAACACCCACTCGTTTTATTTAAAAAGATAGACTGCACAGTAAAAGGTAGTTAGTCAATCACTAATTTCCTGTTGACACAAAATTCAAAAGCTTCTAACAGTTTTTGGGTCAAAAAGACAAAGGAGTGGAGTTTATCAATCAACACTCTATTTAAAGCCATTATGAGACTAACATATGATATCATTTCAATAGACACATACGCAATGCAATGAGTAGACATCTGTCCTGACATCAGCTATTTCCAATTGTCCAGGCTGACCTTAAATTATTTTATTGCACTTTTCCGCGATCTTTTTATTTTATTTTGTGTGTCAACCTGAAATATATCACGAGAGTTTTTTCCCTTTACTATGGCTATGGTTTGATTCATTATTGAAACTGGTTGATCAAGACGAAAGCGTCATACATGTAGGTGTCGCTTCTCAACAAAATGGTTGCAGACGAAAGCACGTCCATTCCCACGAAATGATTCTGCCTCTATGTCTGTGGGGCGTCGTTTTAAACATGACGACGATATTTTCAATATTTGTTTTCGAGAAAAATAAAGGCACAACCCGCACGATCGTTAAAAACGTGTTGAGGGAGTTTCAAACGTGAGTTTGTCGCAATTTGTGTGCGAGTCGTGCATCAAGAAAATTCACGATGTCATTGATTTGTTTGCCAATAAGAAGACGAATGTTTGCACCCGGAAAATTATCAAGCTGTCAAATTAGCTCTTAAAAAAAAAATCTGAAAAAAAACCCGACCATATTCTTATATGAAAGTCTGATAATAAAACTTACCATGCCAGTTCCATTACAATGTGGACATTTTGATATCTCTGTTCCAGGTTCTGCTTTTTTACCCTGACATTTCGGGCAATTGTCCTTGACATTGATATGCATTTCTTTATTTACACCGCGAGCAGCTTCTTGAAACGTTAAATCCATCATTGCCTTCAACGTAGAACAAAATAATGAAATAAATTATATGGTTCATGTTAAATTTCATCATCATAAATAAATGTGTGTACTGCTAGATTCCCACTATCACGATTCGCACTACAATTGAAATCATTGTTTTAATCGTGGAGTAAACATGACGATCCTATCAAGGTCTTATCATATATTGTGGTCAGTCGTAGATTGTATCCAAACGTATCTGAATGTACCAGATCGTGGACTCAATAGAGACTATCCAATTGTAGCGCATCGCACGATAATGTGAACCTAGCATTAGCGCCATTTGCGTTATTTGGACAATATGTAACATTTCCAAGCTTAATACATTCTAAAATGCACTCAAATTGATTATTTGTTTTAATTATGGAAAACATCTCAACATGAAAGGTAGATAATAAATATCCTGTCATGGATTCATATGAAATGAAATGAAATGGGGTTTAATGTCCTACTGTTCTGCTCCAACTGGGCTAATGAAGACGAGCATACGCCATACAGTGTACTATGAGGGAAATTTTGCCCAGACAGCGGCGCTACTGCCTCCTCTTATATCGAAATCCAACTGTCAACAGATCTTTTACGTACACGCCATTGTGTACACGGGACCTCTGTTTTCCGTCGCCTCCAAACTACTAGACAGCTGTCCTTGTCAGGCCCTCCGTCCTGTATCACTGACAAGGGGGAACAACGCCCGAAAATCTGAATGAACTTTCTCGGCCAATGCAGGGATCGAACACCCAACCTCCCTGTCAAGGATTCAAACGGTTTAAAATTAAAAAAAAACAACCTGTGATTTTGTATCAATTAAATTTGTTTATGAAATTAAAGTATAGTACCTCAGTAGCAGCAGCAAAGCCATATTTTGACTCGGCATAATCTTGACCACCACCTCCCCCAAAACCTCCTCCAGACATGTTGAATCCAGCATCTTTAAAAATTCTACGGAACAGCTCTTCGGGATCGATATTACTCTGAAATCCCTCAAAGCCTTGTGCAGACCCAAATCCACCTCCAGGAAATCCACGACCTCCTCCTCCTGCTCCCATTCCGAAACTATCATACTCCTTTCTTTTACCAGAATCACTTAAAACCTGCAAAACAAAAAATAGCAACAAAAATTAAAATAATTTTCTACATTAACATATCTGTAAATGTATAGAATGGATGCCGTTTCATGGTTTTAATTGTCTATACTACATGTGTAGCGAACAGCTACCATTTATATCATTCTGGCAAGGAACGGTGTCTAGTCATTTGCATCCGTCCCAGTTATATCATTCCGTTTTACTCCACTAAACCCTGGGTCCAGTCATGGAGGAGAGAGAGAGAAAAGGGAGGTTTAATGTCCACAACACAAACTAGGTCATTTTGGGACTAACACATCGTTCAATTTTATTTCAATAATTATCTTGCGCGAAGGGGGCTTTAGCAGTGGGAGGAAACTGGAGGACAGGGAAAAACCCAAAACCCAAAAGACCCTTCTCCTTGTCACGTACAACCAGGGAATTGAAACCATGCCAGTTGACTCAATGACAGACCTTCATGATACAACGTGCACATGCTAACCATTTGGCCATCCAACACCCCATGGTTTGAGCAAGGAAGAGTGTCTAGTAATTTGGCAGTTCCAATTCGACAAATATACTTCAACTGATAATCATTATACATTACAGCATCATTTTTATTGTAAAATGTGTCAATCGAAAAATAAAATGTAGTATAAAACCCTACTTTTCTGCACCATGAGGGCAATTTTGCCTGGGCAGTGGGATTTCCACCTACTGTTCATCAAATTTCAGCCATCAAGGGTTCATATACGTGCATAACAGGACATTTGTTTCCTTGCCAAATCCTCCATCATGTACTGCTGACATGTGGAAAACAGTCTAAAAGGAACTTGATTGATTGCTAAACTTTCATCTGTAATAATGACTGATCTAGTTGGAATAATTAATAGTTATCTACATGAAATAAAAACTAAAAATATAAATCTGAATGTTTAGTTTATTATAACCGTACCTCATATGCTTCCGAAACTTCTTGAAATTTACCTGCAGCAGATTTGTCATGTTTGTTCATATCTGGATGATATTTCTTGGCAAGCTGGAGAAAAAATAGAATCACATGTAGTCCATATTTAGTATGATGTGATCCTAACAAACATTTACCAACACATGTACATAAAATAGTATGTTACTGGACTGGCAAGTTAGTTAAAATGATTTGGGTAAAAAGAAACCTAAATGTTATTTTAAACAAATTTGGCGTGTTGGTCATCGGTATCTTATCAACATTTAAAATTGTAGGTCCACAGATAGAACCAATGTTTAATATAACTGATTCTGTTTTCAACAAATTTATTTTTAGACTTCTACATGTCTTATCTGTTCAGTTCAAATTATTACCTTTCTCTTGGCAGAAAGACAAATTAAAATTATGAAATAAAATGGGGTTTAATGCCCTACTTTTCTGCACCTACTAGGCTAATGATCAAGGGTAAATTAGAGCTAGATACCTATATATAGTTTACCTTATAATAGGCTTTCTTAATGGTTGCTTGATCGGCATTCTTTGACACTCCAAGGACTTCATAATAATCTTTTTTATCTCGAGAACCGGACGTGTGGATATAAGAGCAAGGACTGGATCGATGGAAGTGGTGACATGTTAACACTGAAAGATTAATAAACAAAATACTTAGGGACAGTTAAATGGGGTGCTCTGAATCACTTATTTAATGTTCGCTGATTTTTTTAGTTGGTCGTTGAACTCTTTGCATGTATTTTTTCATCTTTTGGTAGAGTCAGGTATTAGGCTAAGATTAGTGAAATAGCTAACATTCACTTAGTCCTAGGAAGCAGAAATTTGATATCAATGAGCTTGCTTTTCACTATCTACACGTATAATAAATAAGAACTTTGCTAAAATTATGAAGATAAATTTGATGTGTTTGTTTTAGCTATGATTATGATTTAATTTTTTTTTAGGCACAATTAATGCATGTGCCATCTCAAGCACGAGATATCACTTGGTATGTTTAATTAGTCATAATACTATAATAGTATAAAGTTATCTTATTTTTAAGATGTTTAACCCTTTGGACACTGACACCTAGAACGACATTAGGCCTATATACTAGCCTCCCAGGGTAAAAATGGACCTCTCAATCTTTTTTTTGTAATATTATGTACCCTTAGGACCTGAACGGCCCAAAAAAAACGGCTAGAACACTTTAACTAGAATACCATAGCCAGTATATACATAACCACCACAGGTACCTGTTCATTACTGATTGCCTTAACAGGTACCGGTGGTGGCTGGTATACTGGCCACTTGGTACTCCAGGCAAGGGGAATCAGGGTTGGTCTTTCATCCGCTCGGATTTAGCTACAGGGTATCGGCAGCAGCCTCGTTTTCAATTGAGTGGCTGGGCTATGGGACCTTGATACCTTCCTCATGAAATCGGTCTTTTAGTGTTTATTTATATTTGGGGGGGGGGGGGCTACGCACATTTTGATGACATAGAAAAAAAAGCCAGTGAAAAAACTTGTTTTTCATTTTACCCCGATTTGATTTGTACAAGTTCAACTCCGAAGATCGGCAATTTCTGACGTTTTCTAGTCAACAAAACCACTCTCGCTTTACTTGAAGGAATGTATAATATTTTTCTTAACTATGATAATACATGTAAGTTCCTTTGATTATTAAACAATCTACTTGCCAAATTTGACAGAAATCTATTGACTCCCACATATTGTATTTGGGCACGCAGATTCCATGTTCAGCATTTTTTCTGTCAAAATTGCCACCGAGTAAGTCAAAAAATACTCTTTGTAAATCCAACAAAATTTATTTTTATTTTGTGCTATAAATATCTTAATGTGTAATGAAGACTTCTTAAATGAACATTTGTGAAAATAGGCCTTTAAGGCTTTGGCTTTGGATGGCTGTTTGGGACCAAAATAGAATGAGCTTTGTATTTTGGGTCACGTTACCACTGAACCAAATTTCCGCACACTCATTAGTAATTACAATTTCTTTTATTTATGCAATTTGTCACGATATGGCCATTCAGGGCGTTTGTTAAACTTTCCCAATGGTACCAATTTCATTGAAATTGACCCATAATTAAGAAAGTTATAAAACTTGTAGTGAGGCGTTAAATCGAGTCACAAAGTAAAGTCATTATATGAGTGCTACTGTTTGTTACTAAAATTAATTGACACCATAATATGATAATGCTGTATTAGTATTATGCAACATTTAAATTGCTGTAACTTTCTTGCTATTTATCACAGAAAGGTGATTTTGGTGTCATTTAAATGGAATAGGTAAGGGTTTGCTAATTAAGTTTTAATCTGTTGATTGTCACATAGCTACCAAAGGGTTAAAGCATTACCGGTAATATGATTATTATATAATTAATATTAATAATAAATGAAATGATAAGTTTCAGTCTGCAAGGTGAAATCAACCTTTGCTAAACCAAAGCATCAAATTCATCTCAACCTTCTTGAAGATAGTGTTTGGATAAAGTCTAATTAATCTGACTAAATCGATAATAAATAGACGGCCTAATAGAACTAAACAAGTAAAGTGAAGTCAGTCGACGTATGACGTAATTGTCTTATTTCTCCGAATTCCCAATATACATCACCTGCCAATTCTTACCACGTTTTGTATGCGAAGCAACAACAAAATTCAAACTACTGCCGAATCGAACAGACTGGAATTGAGCTGTTTCTGGTTTTATATGACGGCAAACTAGAGGTAATGATGAACTGCAAACATTTTTTAATGAAATTTGGCCGCATGCTCCTCTGAATGCCGCCATGTTGAAAATGACCTCCAGCTCGAGAGGTCATTAGGTAATCAGTACTAGATATTTTGAAACTTATTCTATCTACGTATTCTCTAGGGCAACTATTTATTTTATAAACATTAAATATTATTATTTTCGTTGGACAACAAAGCAGCTATGGCCCTGTTTATGTCTTATGCAATACACCTATAAGTAGAATTGCATTCCGTTCGAATCTCTTTACTTTAATTTTCAGATCCAAGGGAGATAACTGCTGTTTAGAAGTAGGAAGCATTCAGCCCACTCTTTTTAAGTAACTGGTGTGTTTTCCGAGTGAATATGTCATGTATTTCTTAAGATTGCTCTGTTGTTGACTCAAGAAATCGAGTTTCAGGAAGAACAAAAAAAAACCATCTGGTTTATATCAAATATAGATACACATGACAGTGCCTCATTTAAGATTTTCCGTAATACCAGGTCTACCCAGTCCGTAGCGCCACCTAACGATACAAGTCGGAAACTTTAAAGTGGAAACAAAACAAGAAAGTTACAGGAAGTGTCAAGATTTGAGGAACTGCTGTTTAGATTATAAGAAATAAACGGTAATTTTTCAATTAAAGTTTTCTTGGGTGTTTGACAAGTCTTGTCGAATTTTCCTGTGTTCTATATCAACTTAGGTAGAGTGAGTCACTGACACATTTCTGTCATGAAAGTGTTAGAAAGGATTGTCAGTAATGGGACACGCCCCCCGTCAATTTGGGAAGTGATCACCCTAATCCAGCTGTTAAGTAGAATTGTGATGATTAGAGTTTGATCAGTAGATTATTTTGCCATTATGACATAATGCTCACATCGAGAATCTAATCTTCAAACTCAGGTGTGAAATACACCTTTACCGATTGAACCAAGACCAAAGGAATTTCCAAGTAGGCTACTTTTTAAGTGGGATTAGGAAGTACCGGTACAGTAATATCCCAGTCTGCAGAGTATGTCCAGAGCACGCAGGAGTAATTTTTTTCAGAAATCGGTGCACGCAAATTTTCTTTAGATTTGCACGCCAGTTTGGCACATGACATTTTTTCCTTGCAGGCAGCAACTTTACTTTAATCAGTACTAATTGTCATATTTTTCCGTATACGGTAATCTGTTGTCAATCCGCATTCGATAATAACAATAATGATACCCGACATGCAAGGGAGACAACTACCATAATGGTAAGTATGTGAGGTGACTCAGTGTGCAAGTCAAATTGACCTAATCGAGTTGCCATATATGTGGCTAATGCACGCGTGCAGTGGTTGCTTTAGTTTTGAATTTCAGTAGTACTTTTTTGAAATTACACGCCAGACAGAAATAACATAATTTATCACTCATGGATTTATCTCCTTCACGCTTGAAGTGTTAGGTTTCACGCCAGAATTTAGTAAGGATCTCGTCGAAATCGGACACAATCTGCAGACTGGGTAATATCTAAGTTTGAGACAGGATTGAGGACTGGCTTTTCCTGCAAGGTGGAAGCCGATGTAAAGCGTGGATAAACTGAAACAACCACAGAACAGAAGAATCTAGGCATCATAGCACACCATAACATATTTATGTGTACGGTACACCCATGCTATGTACATGCACCATCAGAATACATGTAATATAAAAAAACCTGATGAAAAACACACAAACAAAATAAAAAACAACCATCCAAATAAAGAAAGTGAATTTTTATATAACGGAAATGATGCCCAATACTACCAGCATCTTCTAAAGAACATCAACCTACAACTAGAAACATATCCCTTTTCTGACGCTGGACTTGTTCTTTGGGATAAACTACCACAGTCAGAAATCTCCCTTCTCAGATAAACATATTCTAAATGCTGCAACTATTAACCCACAAATTGGAACACATGCCTTTTCCGACCCCAGATATTTTCTTTGGAATAAACTTCCACAGTTAATGAAACAACTAACAACAGTGGACTGTTTTAATCTCAACTCAAAATATTCTTGTATCAAAACCCAGATATGTAAATAAACTGTTATTAACACACTTTATAAATACCTTTTAAACTGTCATTATTATTGTTTGGTTTTAATGCAGACCTTTTTTTTAACAGATTTCCTGAGAGGAAAAGATGGCTTGGCGATTCAAGGCATCAAAGTATAAAAATGCTGTTCTTAAATTTCCAAAAAGAGAGGTGAGACTTAAAGGGTTAATATGCTTATTGGTAAAATAACTTAAAGAAGAGAATACGAAAAAAAACTTTTCCATATTCACAGACTTATATTAAATCGATCAGTCGTCCATGTTTCTCCGAATGGCTTAGACTTTAGTGTTGGCAGTAATCTCGTCATAATGCGGGGGTTGGGTGGCCGAATGGTTAACGTGTGTTGATTGGATCATACATGTAAGGTCTGTCATTAGTCAAGTGGTGTGGTTTTGTTTTCTCACTTGAACGTGACAAGGAGTATGGCCACCTGTCCAACCTTGTGGATTCTCCCAGGTCTGTCATTGCGTCAACTGGCGTGGTTTTGATTCCCCGTTTGTACGTGATAAACAGTAGGGTTGCCTGTCCAACCTTGTGAGATTCCCCCAGATCCTCTGGTTTCCTCACACTGCTAAAGGTCCCTACAGGTGAGCGAATTAATGAAATAAAATTATGTATGTATGTTAATTCTTTTTCCGAATGGAATTGAATCATTTTTGGACTGATATTAAACTTTCACAATGTTGTTGTTTCCAAGAGGGGGATCACGTGGCTAGTCATTTGGATGGGACGGAAAACCGAGGTCCCGTGTACAAATTGGCGTGCACGTAAAAGATCCCTTGGCAGTTGGAATTCGATATAAGAGTAGGCCGTAGTGCCGCAAAATTTCCCCCATAGCACACTGTATGGCGTATGCCCGTCTTCATTAGCCCAGTTTAGGAGAAAAACAGTAGGACAGTAGACCCCATTTCCTTTCATTTGTTTCCAAGAGATTAAAACAACCGAAATGCTGATGAGTGGCTTGTTAGTGGTGCAGGATGGAGAGTCTTGCAAGGGACAACGTATAGTCATTCAGATGGGATGGAAAAGTGAGGTCCAATATACACATTGGCGTGCACATAAAAGATCCCTTGGCAGTTGGAATATGATATGAGAGTAGGCCATAGCACTGCTGTCCGGGAAAAATTTCCCTCATAGCACACTGTATGGCTTATGCCCATCTTCATTAGCCCAGTCGGTGTAGACCAGTAGAATGTTAAAACCCATTTCATTTCATTTACCAATGAGCGACTTTAACCATTTATTTATATTTTGACAGGAAATGATAAGTGAGTTACCAGTAGGATCTCTAGGTCAATCATTTGGTAATCATATTAAAGCAAGTAGTCAATATGTCGTCTTTAACACAGATTTATCAGGTATGATAGCACAAATTCATCTCTTCGGTGCTTGGACCGCACAAAACTGTGCTCCTTAGACTGTGGGGGGGTTGGATGGCCGAATGGTTAGCATGTGCGCGCTGTATCATAAGGCCTGTCATTGAGTCAACTGACGTGGTTTCGAATCCCTGGTTGTACGTGACAAGGAGTAGGGTCGTCTGTCCAACCTCGTGGGTTTTCTCCGAGTCCTCCGGTTTCCCCCCACTGCTAAAGAGCCATACGTGAAAGTAAATTATTTAAATAAAATTGAACCATATGTTAGTCCCGAAATGACCTAGCCTGTGTCTAGTGGATGTTACACCCCGTTTCACTCTCTCTCCCTTAGACTATCCAAAATGACTTGAAGTGTAAACAGTCCCCAAACTTTTTTAATTTCTATTGTTACATGTAAGAAAAAATAAATCAAAATACTAACGCTAAATTATCTCCCGGCCTGGATTCAATCGGATTTACAACAGGTCCATCAATTTGGTTCACAGCAAATAAAGATGGCGACAGTCAAGTTACATAGGGAGCAGCATAGATCAATGGAATTTTCATTTGTCATATCTTTGTAAATCGTGAGCAGAATCGAATCATTTCTGGACTGATATTCCTTTTAGAGCTTCATCTTTAACAATATTGCAAGAGATTCTATTACGCTAAAATCATGTACAGAGTCTTTAAGTTGTTTTCAACAATACTGTTACTAATTATATTTTATTTGTCTTATTTACAGCCGGTGGTAATTTAGGCTATTTACCACTTAATACACAAGGGAAACAAAACAGACAAAACATTCCACTTATACAAGCTCATACTGGTAAGTAGAATATACAAAACATTCCACTTATACAAGCTCATACTGGTAAGTAGAATATACAAAACATTCCACTAATACAAGCTCATGTTGGTAAGTAGAATATACAAAACATTCCACTAATACAAGCTCATGTTGGCAAGTAGAACATACAAAACATTCCACTTATACAAGCTCATGTTGGCAAGTAGAACATACAAAACATTCCACTAATACAAGCTCATGTTGGCAAGTAGAATATACAAAACATTCCACTAATACAAGCTCATACTGGTAAGTAGAATATACAAAACATTCCCCTTATACAAGCTCATACTGGTAAGTAGAATATACAAAACATTCCACTAATACGAACTCATGTTGGCAAGTAGAACATACAAAACATTCCACTTATACAAGCTCATATTGGTTATTAGGATGGGATACAGTGGGGGGATAATAGATTGAGTTGGGGTTATGGTAAGAGTCAGGGGAAGTGGAGGTGATGATAGTATCAGGGGCAGACGTTGCTTGAGGAATCACTAATATATACTATTCAAAAAAAGTAGGGGATATTTGATTTTGGGGGCATAATACTAAAATATGCAAATGACTACGAAAAAAGTCACTATAGAACCTAACAGAAGAAACATTTCCAGTTACATGTGACGCCCAAACGCACCAATAGCTACCGCATGGAATGCAGGTGATGCTTGGGATCATCATGGGGGTCCAACCCAAGATTTGCACGACTCTGACTTTGAATGTTACAGTCATTGTGGCATTGAATTCCAGGGTGGAAACATCAGTTTAATTGTTTTAGTGACCAGAAAACAAATTTTGATATGCGTCGGCTTACCCAAAATGAAAGGTTACGTGCCCTTGGCATGCTACAGATCGGCACAACACAGGCGGTTGTGGCGCGGTCGATGAATGTTTCTCAGTCTGTCATAAGCAGGCTATGGTCCAGATACCGTGATACACAATCTGTACAGGACAGACCACGCTCAGGTCGACCAAGGGCGACAACTCAAGCCCAGGATCGATTTATCCGTACCTTGGCCTTGAGAAATCGTGTCATCACAGCAAATCAGATCAGCGCTCGTCTTCAAACAGACACTGGTGTGAGAGTGAGTGGCCAGACGATTCGGAATCGACTGCATAGGGGTCACCTTCGCGCCCGACGTCCTCGCGTGATCCCTTGTTTGAGAGATCATCACATTCAGGCAAGACGTCGTTGGTGTAGGGATCGTCAACACTGGGATAATCGACGCTGGAGCAATGTGATGTTTTCAGATGAGTCAAGGTTCACTGTTGATTTTTTGGACAGACGTAGGAGGGTGTGGCGTCGTCAAAACGAGCGCTTCCAAGACGTTAACGTCATCAGACATGATCGATTTGGGGGTGGTTCTGTTATGGTGTGGGGAGGCATCACTGTTGCTGGAAGAACGGCTTTACATGTTGTTGCAGGGCGTGTTACAAGCCAGTACTACCGGGACAACATCTTGGCAGTCCATGTTGTGCCGTTCGCACGACGTCATGGCCGCCGTTTCATCTTCCAGGATGGCAACGCAAGATGTCACAGGGCCAGGATCGTTACAGGTTACCTCCAACAACAGAACATCACCACATTACCTTGGCCAGCACTGAGTCCCGACCTCTCCCCCATCGAGCATGTCTGGGACATGCTTGGACAGAGGTTACGTCAACGTCAACAACGTCCTGCCAATGTCCAAGAACTTGCTGCTGCGTTGCAACAGGAATGGGACAATCTGGACCAAAATGACCTTAGACGTCTCATTAGGAGTATGCCACGTCGGATCAATGCTTGTTTGGCAAACAGAGGTGGATTTACCCGTTACTGACTTGGTTGTGATGCTGTGGTAACTTTGCTGTTTGACCCCGGGTATCATTTTACCCTTATAATGGTCAGTCTGTGCCTTACTTAGTCTAACGATCATTTGGAATAAATCGATGAATGTGAACTTCATTTCATTTTGTCATTTGTTTCTTCGTCAGTTTCATTAGGTGACTTTAATAACACTTAAAAATCAAATATCCCCTACTTTTTTTGAATAGTATATATCAAAGATCTGATTACTCCATATAAATCCACAAGAACATTTAGATCCACAGATCAACAGTTGATGCATCAACCATCAATGAATCATGAAATTACAAAAAGGTCTTTATCTTATGGATTTCATTGCCTTACAATGTTAGAACCATTGATTCCTTAACTGCATATATAGCCAAGCTAAAGATATTCCTGTTTACAGAGACATGCTATATTAATAGACATTTATTATTATTATTATTATTATTAAAAGTTTGGGTCAAGGGGAACTCGCATTTCAATATAATAAACAAAATTCACTGAATTATGTTTTCATTCTATTTTTTTTTTTTTTTTTGATTTATTTCAGATTTTGTAACAGATTTTGATTTTTCACCTTTTGATGACTACCTCTTAGCTACAGGGTCACAGGACAATTCAGTAAGTTTTCTTACTTGTTTCCTTTATTCACAGTTTATTTGGCGGGGTTGGATGGCCAAATTTTTATTATGTCATTGAGTCAACTGGCGTGGTTTCGATTCCCCGGTTGTACGTGACAAGGAGTGGGGTCGCCTGTTCAACCTCTTGGTTTTCTCCGGTTTCCGCCCACTACTAAAGACCCCACCTACACGGAAGCGAATTATTGAAAAAAAAAATGAACCATATGTTAGTCCCAAAATGACCTAGTTTGTGTCAGTGAAACTCTCTATTTATTTCTTATGGGAGGTCCTGTGTACACATTTATTTCTTATGGAACGCCCTTCATTACAACTGCCGATCATCATTTGAAGTTTTCAGACAATATCTAGTTTCATGTGCTCACGTTTGATCATAAGGCCTGTCATTGAGTCAAGTGGTGTGGTTTTCTCCAGTTTCCTCTCACTGCTAAAGAATCCTAAGCTCAAGCAATTTATTGAAATAAAATTGAATCATACGCTGGTGCCGAAATGACCTGGTTTGTTTCGAGTGGAGTTAAACCCCATTCCTCTCTCTCTGAGTTCTTAATATATTTTCAGATCAAAATATGGTTATTGCCAGAAGAGGGGAGTTCAGATAATATTACTGATCCCGTTGTAACTCTACCTGAACAAGATAAAAAGATAGAAAATGTCGTTTGGAATTCCATGGCAGATGGCATTCTAGCAGCGTCTACAAATAAAAGCGTTAAAATATTTGATGTCACACAATCAAAGGAACTTTTTGGTATGATCTATGTTTATATTATGTTGCATATTTATTTTGAGCTTGGAAGTAGTCCCTTTGATGCTGGCATTGGACCCTTGTATACATTGGCGTGCACGTAAAAGATCCCTTCTAGGTTGGATCTTGTTATAAGAGTAGGTCATAGTGTCGCTGCCTGGGCAAAATTTACCTCATAGTACACTGTATGGCGTATTCCCGTCTTCATTAGCCCAGTCGGAGCAGAACAGTAGGACATTAAACCCCATTTCATTTCATTTCGCTGGTGTAGGTACCCGGTTGGCTCAGTGATTAAACCACTGCTCACTAACCGTGAGGTCTCAGATCAGCTCCTGGTGTTGACCTAGAAAGTTCCTCTAGATTTTCCAGCATGATTTCCCACCGTGTCAATGATTTCCCCCTCGTCAGTGGTGCAGGACTGAGAGCCTGGCACAGAACAATGTACACATTGGCACGTAAGTAAAAGAACCCTTGACAGTTGGAATTTGAAATGAAAGTAGGCCATAGCGTTGCTGTCCATGGAAAATTTCTCTCATAGCTGTTCCTTCATAGCACACCGCATGCCATATGCCCGTCTTCATTAGTCCAGTCATTAACCCAGTCATTAGATCAGTTATATCCCAGTTTTATTAGCCCAGTTCATACAGAAAAGTAAGACGTTAAACACCATTTTATTTGATTTAATTTGAATTATTATTCCAGAGTTAAAAGGTCACAAGGATATCGTACAGAGTATAGATTGGCATGGTAACGGTGTATTATTAGCTACATCATGTAAAGATAAAAAGTTACGATTGTTTGATGCTAGAACAGCTTCCGTGGTTCAGGTTAGTATCAAAAATATTTAAATTGGTCTATGACATTAACTAATAAACAATATTTACATTGGTATATAACATTAACTAATAAACAATGTTTAAATTGATCTGTGACATTAACTAATAAACAGTATTTAGTTTTTAAACTTGGTATGCACGGTAATATCAAGAAAGAAGTGATTGAAAATTAACAAAACTCCATAGCAATCATTTTTCTAAAGTTTTGGCCTTAGAACTATGTGAAATTAACAGATTATTTTTGACAAAAACTATGCAAAATTCACCTCCTGGCATTGCCTAGATCAAGAAATGAATTTAGCTTTAAAATGGCAGAAGAATTGTGTTGTCGTTCCTTACTTTCTGGCATTAAACACAGCTATTTCTAGTTTAGATTGTTAATATCTGATCTGACATTCTCATTAAAGATACATTATGGCAGATTAGATAATGAGCTGGCAATTCTTGCTATAATAGTTAAAAACTAGAAAATGTAAAGTGAATATGCTGAAAATTTCAGTCAAATTGCTCCACTCTGACCCCAATATTAGCGATTGAATTTTAGGCCTAGCCTCGATCATCATTACTAAAATCGGTCTGATTAAAACAGTCTTGATTATCCATTTTTAGATTAAATCATCAATGAGTGTTGAGCAGCAGATTTGTTTCAAATCCAGTGAAAATCCTACACATAAGAAGGCATTGAGAGTTGATTAAGGTCTTTTCATGTTAATAAATGTCTAATTAATAGTTTATACAACATTTCGGCTATAAAGAAAGGCCTGCAATAGGCAGATTCAGCTCTTGAATAAAGTGTGTTTAAATATCTTTACATGTTCTATTATTGTTTCATTTGACCAGGAAGGTGATGGATGTCCCAATCTTAAAGAAACACGTGTTTTATGTCTGGGTAACAGAGATCAACTAATCACTACTGGATTTGATCAGGTAAACATATTTCATGAAATCAAATCATGGTTCAAGATACAGTTTTCATGATTAAATAATAATAATAATTAATTTATATAGTGCCGACAATTCAACTTACTTGACTCAACAAAAGCTATTATGATCTAAAGCTCATGTGTTAACCGTTCAGCCACCCAGCCCCCTCCTACATTGCATATGCTCATTTTGGTGCACAAAAGATGAATAATAGGTGAAAACATTGGTTTCTGGGCAAAATTAATTCCCTTATAGAACAATGCATGGTGTATGCCAATCTTAATTAGCCCATTTTACTTTTATGATGCACATTGGAGGAGGGGAGGGTGGGGGACGGTAAGATTGATCCATTAGCTAGTCTTAGTTTGTGTCTAGTGGATGTTAAACCCCATTTCTCTCTCTCTTTTAAGATACATGTGGGGGGGGGGGACGCGTTTGGGTGGCGAAATATTGAAATAAAAATGAACCATATGTTAGTCTTAGTTTGTGTCTAGTGGATGTTAAACCCTGTTTCTCTTTCTCTCTTATACATGTATATATTGTAGAGTCGTAAAAGAATTGTTAAGCTCCATGATACACGAAATCTCAGCACAGCTCTAGCTAGAAATACCTTCGATACTTCCACAGGGTAAGTAACTTGTCAGCTTGGTTATAATAATTTCTTAACGCTTGACATCTTCTCACAGTCAAATATATAGAGGAAAATGGTATTTATTTGAAAGATTCACAGTTCCTATAAATTTCATAAAAACGATTGGATCAAATATTCGAATTACTCTCAAATAATGACATAAAATATGAAAAGCAAAATCAGCATTTAACATTGTTATAGTATATTGATACTCATGTATATATGATAGTAATACTAGTGTATATTGATACTAGTGTATATATGGTACTGATACTAGTGTATATGGTAGTGATACTGGTGTATATAATATGGATACTAGTGTATATATGGTACAGATACTGGTGTATATGATAATGATACTGGTGTGTATGATAGTGATGCTAGTGTATGTATGATAGTGATACTAGTGTATATGTGTACATGTATACATGATAGTAATACTAGTCTATATGATAGTGATACTGAAAGCTACTAGCCCAAATGGCCTGGTGGTTTACCACCAGGCTCTTGAGCAGGCATGATTCAAAGGAGTTTTTCCGGAGGCCAAATAGAAATACTTCGCCTATGTCAGCCTATGTTCCATAAAATCTCGATCTGGTTCCACATTCACTCCCTAAAGAGACTTTATAAGACAATAATCAGATTTTTATTTTGTACCCTTGTTAATGATAGAATTCATATCATGGGATTTGACGTAAGAATGGTAGAAATTGAATTACAGTTCTGTATTATCGTAACGAAAGTGGTGTGTTGTCTTCCTAATGCTGAGTTTTCATGCGAAAAAAGCTGCTTGCGACAAAATAAATTCCTATGTAAACTGCACCAGAATAGTCCACAGACTCTAAATCCGTGCTCTGAGAATTTAACCTTATTTTAGGCCCTGCACTACTATATATACCCATATACACCATTATCACTATCATATATACACCAGTATCATTATCATATACACTAGTACAGGGGTAGAAACTAACCTGAAATGGTCACCATTTTATGGAACATAGGCTGACATAGGCGAAGTATTTCTATTTGGCCTCTGGAAAAACTCCTTTGAATCATGCCTGCTCAAGAGCCTTGGGTGCCGGTTTGTTTCTCCGAACATCAAATTCAGACAACGAGGGCATATTGATGCGAATGTTCAGGTATGCGTCCTTTATCTTTTGGTTGGTTGTATGAGCTTACTAAACGCTCTACATCACATGAATGTGGCTTCGCTGCTACTACACGAGTGATCGCCATGGACACAGGTAGCTTATTTTCATTTACAACAATAATTTTTTCAAAGTTTTCAATTTACCCAAATAAGTACCAAGATAGGCAATCACTTCATCATACGCTCTCAGCACGTGCGACAATGGCATGTCGCTTACACTCTTTTCGACGTTAAGTCTGTCACTCAGAAACGTCTTGAGGCTTTCGAAGATCTCCATTTTCAGAGCGGCAATCGAGCGCTGCCCACTCGTTACATAGTGATGTTGCCGCCAGGCATCTCGTTGCGACTTCATGACGGAAGAAAGTTCTATTCCGTCAAAAATCGACAAGTCGTTTTCCTCTTCATCGCGAGTCGTAATAAGTTTCTCTTCTTGGCCACCGCCGATGCTGTCCTCCAACAACCCCGACACCTTTTTCACATATACATCTCGTAAAGTTTTAATATGAAACACAGTAATTTTATCCGCCTGAATCGATTTTTGAAATTGTTTATATACATCCAACACGTCACATAGGAATGTGGCAAGCTGAACAGAGTGTAGTTCTGTCCATTTTTTCAGGAATCCAGCGGCCTCTTTATCTCCACTTTTCCTGCTTCAAATGTTCGATCATTGGCTTGTAGTTCCTCAAAATTGACAGTATCAGTGTATGTGAATACTCAGTGAAGCGTATATCATTCACCGATGGATAGCTAAGCGCTTTCCGACCCATGTTTTCTGCTATGTTCGACAGCTCATGTTTGCGTACTGCGGATACACTGTAATATTTTACGACGCCTTTATCTCTGCTACTGATGATGACATGACTTTATAGGCTAGCTGAGACCGGTGCTCTGCGTACCAAATTTTCATTAGAGGGAGACTGTTATCAGTTTGTACCCGCTTGTTTTCCAATAACACCCAGAGTGAATGACGAGTGCCGGTATAAGTGTTTTCGCCATCAGTTACTATTGACGAAACTTCAGGGAAAAACTCATTCCAACCCTGTCCTGATTTCTCTACCGCGGCCTTCACCGATCCGAACAGACCTTTAGCCCCTCGTTCCTCACTTTGCGAGAAACCCAGGAAATTAGTAGACGAATGTCCATCGGCCCAAACGATCTTTGCCATAACATGTTTGTAGTCGATATTGGTTCTATCCACTTCCCCATCTACACGCAAGGAAACAGCAAGTGGCTTGGATTCAGCAGCTATCTTCTTTTTGTAGATGTTGGTTATTGCCATTAGAAATTCGTGATGGCTGTATGGGTTCAGGTAACGCAAGTCGCCATCGGGCGGTCTAAAGTTTTCATGTGGAGCAGACAAATCGAGTTTCTCTCCCATCAATATTGCCGCTTGACGCAATGGAAAAGACCAGGCGGACAACGTACCCCTTTTTGCATCATTATAAACACTCGGCATCATTTTTGCGACTTTCAACTCTTTCTCCAGATTCTTTACTCTGAAACTTCTGTCGAGGGCTTTTTCCGCTTCGAGAAGTTTTTGTTGGGCGGCCGCTTTTAACTGATCTTCTCTAGTTTCACAGGCTTTGTGTTCCGCAGATTCGGCATGTTCCTGAACTAACTTTGATCTGAATATGGCACCGTCAGACGTGCATATATTAGTCATTCTCTTGCAGTGAATTCTAACAATGTTTGGATATTTCATACACGTTGAACATCTAACTATACCGCGTTTATCAGTTCCTCCGCGTTATTCACTTTTACTAATCAACCAGTCATAATCAGACTGACAAGCTGTTTGGCGTGGCTTTGTCGGCTCAGCCGTTGTAGTAGGGGTTTCATCCATATTTCAATACTTAAAATCGCAGATAACACCGAAAATACGTGAAAATAAGTCAAGAACAAACTTTTTCAAAGTGAAAGTGAAATGACGGTCAAGGTCGCAGCGGAGCGGACTGAATACCAAGCCTACTGAAGAACCTGACTAGTAAGCTGATGCGGCTGGCGCTCACTCGACTCATCCGAGGTAGTCGCGAGTGAGCGCCAGGTGATCTGATCTGATCTGTGCAACTGACCACACCACAAGAACACAAGAAGAAACACCCAATTAGGGGTCAGGAGGCATCGCTGACTACACTTTTTTAGAGCACTACACCATTTTTCAGAGCACGGTTTTCTTATTTTCGAAGCACGGATTTTTCATTTCGAGGCACGTTCGTGCTCTAAGGCACGTTATTTTAGGCCCTGTAGTAGTGATACTGGTGTATATATATATATGTATGTATATATTTGTATATTTATAGTATATTGATGCCATTATACGATAGTGATACTGGTATGTTATTCCTCGCTGGCAAGGTAAATATTTAAAATAATTAATACACTACAATTTAATTTGAATGAAATGAGCATTGTCACATCTAGGAAACAACTTATAGAACATCCTTATTATATATTTTGACTAACTCCTTGAAATAACTCCTAGTTCCGAGAAAACCATATAATTTCCTAGATGAGATTTATTATGAAAGCCACCACTTGACCTAGATAATTAGATGAGATTTATTATGAAATCCACCACTTGACCTAGATAATTATATAAAAAGTGCTAATACCATAAGGACATTGTGTAATTATTTCTGGTTTTCATTGGTTATCCTTTTGAAGCAGATCATTCATGACATATCATAATTCAATCATTTTTTAAATAAATAAATAAAATAACATTAAGTTAATAAATATATAAAATAAATAAAATGAATAAATAAAATGAATAAATATATAAAATAAATAAATAAAATAAAATTATAAAGAAATAAAATAAATAAATAAATAAATTCATGGATAGAGGAGGATTACGATAAATTAAAAATGTGGCCATGAAATGAAAAGAAGGTAATTCAAACATTTGATGTGTATGATTGATCGACTTTTGGGCCAATATGTTTTTTGACACAGCATATTTTTTATTGTGTTATACATGATCTGAAAGTCTATGTTTGACATTTGTGAATATTGGTTTCGTAAAATTTCAACATTTACGGCCAAACGAAGAACCTGTGGATAGATTTCAACCAACCCAACCCATCTGTGCCGACAGGAGTAAGGAAATGTTGACATATTTCCCAACATGCTTTCGTATTAAATAACCAAAATTGAATTTATCCGCAGTATCGTTCAATCCACCCACCGAATGGATGCAAGTGTTTAAATCTTGCGATAGTCTAAATTCTAAGAAAATGTTGACATTTTTATCTACCGCTTCAGTACTAAATAAACAAAATTTAATTGATTATTTTTTATCCGCAGTATCGTTCAATCCACCCACACGGTTCACCAGTTATTCTTTTGGACGCAAGTGTTTAAATGTTGCGATGGTCTAAAGATTACTGTACTTACTTGATATATTTTTTATCTCCTCAGGGTGATGCTACTTTAAGATATCTGGAAGTAAATGAAAAAGATCCATATTTTGTAGAAAGTAAGACTTGTTATATCTTTTTGTGGTCAAACTGTTCTGTTGTAATTAAAGCCCCAATCTATTTTTTTGCTGTAATTGAAGCCCTCATCTAGAATTTCTAAATCAATTCATATTGAGATATTTTTATTCAAACTAGCTAATATGGCTCTTACCAAGAAAAACGATTGAAACCCTTACCTATATTTTGTTTTTTTCATTTGAACAGATTGTGTAGAGAGAACGGAACAGATAAAGGGTGTTGCCATGGTACCTAAACGTGGTGTTGATGTAATGACAGGGGAGGTAACGCGTATCATGATTTTAGCTCAGAACTGTATCCTTCCTACACCTGTTGTTGTTCCCAGAAAGGTAAATTATTGTTAATTTAAATCCTGTTAATCCGTCACAACAAATAGTAGACATGGTTTTAACATTTTCATCAAACCAAACCAATCAGCACGGATTGAGACAGATAATATATTTTTGTAATTATATATTTTTGTAATTATATATTTTTGTAATTATATATTTTTGCAATTATATATTTTTTTGTAATTATATATTTTTGTAATTTGCATTTTATTTTGCCATGTTGGGTGGTTGAGTGGTCAATGCCGCATCTGTCATTAAATCAACAACTGGTGTGGTTTCGATCCTCAATTTCTATGTGACAAAAAGTTAGGTTGCCTGCCATACCTTGTGGGTTTTCTCTGGGTCCTTTGGTTTCCTCTCACTGTTAAACAGGCCTAAACAGAACCGAGTTATTGAAATAAAATTGTACCATATGTTAGTCCCAAAATTACCTAGTTGATGCTGAGAGTACGTTCGACTCTATTTCTATCTCTGTCTCTCACATTTTTATCAGATACAATGTATGCTATGTTTTTGTTATCCAGTCTTATAGAGACTTCCATGATGATCTGTTTCCCGATACAAGTACTGGTGAATCAAGTCTATCTACTCAACAGTGGATTAACGGGGATAACAGCCAGGTAACAAAATAAAATAACTTTTTTGTTGCCGTATTGGCGAACATTTGGGACTTATGAAATCTCACCTTTAATTATTAGCGTTGCGCCTACTGACACGAAAAATGTGCGAAAAACGAGGTCCATGTAAAAGAACCATTGACCATTGGAAATCAAGAAGAGTAGACAGAAACACCACTATCCAACCAAAATTCTCCTCCCTCGCATTGTATATTTTACCATAGAAATAAAGATAGGTTGCCAGGCAACGAAACATATGCCCACAGGAGCTAGGTCGTCCAAGCAATCGACATGAGCTGTCGCATATTTTTACTTTTGTTGGTAATGAAACATTTATAATACACTAAAATTTGATTAAGAGTAACAAGTTATCAAAATTCAATGAAAATCAATATACTTGTTCGTCTCAAGACCTTAAACTTGTTTATCAATCTAAAGTCAATCGGATGATTACTTTGGCCACTAGAGCGTCCACAAGATATTTCAAAGTGATCAACTCTGGCAGTAATTATCGGATATTGTTTCTTCGTCTCATGACCTTAAACACTGTGTATAAATTTAAAGTCAATCGGATATTAACTTTAGCCTCTAGAGCGTTCACAATCAATTGTGGATGCCGGACGAACGTGGGTACGACAATAACAATATACGACCACATTTCAATGTGGGGGTATAAAAATTATCATGTTTTTGTCTGACACATTAAGCCCCCTTTCCATTCCGCCATTTAGTGTCTTAACTACAGTATGGAATGGGTAATAGAGATGACCTGTTGCTAACGAAGCAAAATTGTCATTTCCATGGCAACAAATTTGACACAGGTATATTTATTACTGTTTTTTTTTTTATTGCAGTTGAAATTGATGTCGTTAAATCCTGCAAAGAGACCGCTACTAGCCAGCGGACGTGGGAATGTTTTCAATCCAACAACTGCAAGCGTTACGACACCAGTTGTTAATAACATGCCTGTAACTAACGGTGTAGATACATCATCCAGTAAAGAATCTACTCCAGATGCGGTGAGTTTAGGTTACGATTGTTGATTTGGTAATCAAAGTAAAATTACGTACAGCAGAGTAGAACTCATAAGGCAAGTGAAAATAAGGGTCCTGTCTTCATCAGCTTGGGGGGTTGAGTGGCCGAAAGGTTAGAACGTGTGTGCTGTGTCATCATAAGGTCTGTCATTGAGTAAACTGGCATGGTTTCGATTCCCCTGTTGTATGTGACAAGGAGTAGGCTCGCCTGTCCAGCCTCGTGTGTTTTCTCCAGGTTCTCCGGTTTTCTCCCACTGCTAAAGACCCCTACACGCAAGCAAATTGTTGAAATAAAATTGGACCATATGTTAGTCCCAAAATGACCAATTGGTCAATTTAAATCAACATTGATGTTGTTATCTTACCGTGAAAAGATGAGCTTCTGATATCCAATATTTAAGACATAATGAAAATTTTGACATTGAGACACAAATCATGTGCTTTTGAGCGCCATTTGTAATGAAGCGACTCGATGAACAAAGCTGAACATACTTCACAGGAGAATACTACCAGTATAGATGGGCTTAGTGAGCCAACGTCTTTTTCACAAATTATATCTCCATTAACAGCATTGCTTGTTACTTTTAGCCTGTGATAACTGAAATAAAACCAGATATTACTTCTACTAAACCATCATCAGCCATTTCTGACATCACAACTACCAATTATCAACAAGATAACACATCATCAGAGGTCATCAGTTCAAATTCCACCAATAGCAGTTCAGATAACAATGAAAGAAATGTTGTTGAAGAGCAGAATGTAAAACCAGTGAAACCGGTCAAACCAGTCAAACCAAGTAAACCGTTTACAGGTGAATGACTTTTAATGAATATCTTGTAACGAGAGACAGAGGGAGACAGGGTTTAACCTCCTCTAAACACAAAACATATGGTACAATTTTATTTCTATAATTTGTGTAAACAGAATAGTCTTTAACAGTAACCTAACTTTATTAACCTAGTCGATGCAGAAAAGTAGGACGTTAAACCCCATTTCATTTCATATCTTTAGCAGCAGAATGAACCAGAGAAAAACATCTGAGTTTAAGCAGGGGGACCCTACTCATTGTCACGTACATGCCAGGGATAAAATTGATGAGTCTTGGGAGGCGTCGGGAACAGGTTCCACGGCATCAAAGGGAAACTCTTGGGGCATTGCGAGCCACACGGAACCATACTGAAATATTTCAAAGCTTGCATTGTCGGGTAAACAGGCTCATCAATTTTCATCGATAGTACATCACCGAGGCAAAATATGCCCAGTTGGACCTAGGCATAAAACAGCACAACTATATGATACCTTACCACTCAGATGTATAATATATGAGAAATTATTAATTTCAGGTGTCCGCCAATCAAAGTATCGACATCTTAATGGTACATTACTACACCGTAGTCAGAATATAGAGAATGTACGGAATGTAGATAGAACGGTTCCAGGAGAAAGTGACATGTTTCACGCTAATAATGTTCGCTGTGTCGTACCTATAGAGGGTGCTGGTGGTTTATTAGCAGTTTTTGAGGTATGTAGAAGACGATACTTAATTAATTGTTCTCGAATTGAATTGACTCCATCTTGCAAAAGGTGCCTTTTCAAGTAATATATAAAGATGATATATTATTGTATAGTATTACATTATTATATTATAGTCTTGTATATTATATTATTGGATATTATAATATTGTATACTACAGTATTGTATATTGTATTAATGTATATTACAGTACTGTATATTATAGTCATGTATATTATATTATTGTATGTTATATTATTGTATATTACAGTACTGTATATTATAGTCATGTATATTATAGTCATGTATATTATATTATTGTATATTATAGTCTTGTACTTTACAGTATCATATACTAAGGTACTGTATATTATATTATTGTATGTTACAGTATTGTATTTTATAGTATGTTATGTTATTGTATATTATAGTTAGCTAATGCTGGTAAATTACCTGATACAGGAGTACCCTATTTACAACATGGTAGTAAGGTCACTGATTATGTCTGGGATCCATTTGATGACAGTCGACTGGTCGTCTGTAAGTAAAACAATAATTTGATATTTGTCATCACAGTGGATAATTTACTTCGAATATAGTGTATTGATACGATATAGTAATTTCTTTACTGGTCTTCTTATGTGTGAACAGACTTTTGAGTTCATTTGTGTATTTATTTTTACAGGTTGTGATGATGCCAAGATTCGAGTATGGAGAATACCAGAGGGTGGATTAACAGAAACTTTAACAGAGCCAGAATTCTACTTAAGAGGTACATTGTTTACTAAGTAGGCCTACATGAGAAATGAATTATGCCAGATTAAGCACAAGAGCTAGTCGTTTTTGCTATAATAGTTAAAAAATAGATCAGTTGAATTATTTTAATCTGAGCAAAGTTTCGAATGTTTGAAATTTTGACAAGACATAGCCATAAGTGGCAGATAGAACTCCCTTGGCAGCAGTTCATATAATAAGCGACTGTCAAGTGCCATTGCTATAATAATAAACAAAATCTCTGATTGTCAGTCCTTTCATCAGGATTCTCGGGCTACTAATCCACTCAATGTCTTAAGTCATCCGATTGTTAAGAGAGTTGATTATGGGCTGGTGGTGTGAATGATTGTCTAAATAATAATGTGTAAAACATTTGAAGCCAGAAACACACCAGTAAATAGTCAACTTTATTGCTGGCAAAATACCTCTTCAAGAAATAGAGTTATCAAACGTTGTATCTGAGAAATGTGGAGAATTGTAGAAAGAAAGAGAGAAATGGAGTTTAATGATCACTTGACACAAACTAGGTCATTTCGGGACTAACATATGGTTTAATTTGATTTTGAGGAAACTGGGGGACCTGGAGAAAACCTACGAGGTTGAACAGACGACCCTACTCCTTGTCATGTACAAGCGGGGAATCGAAACCACGCCACTTGACTCAATGCCAGACCTTCTGATATAACGTGCACACATTAACCATTCAGCCACCCAACACTTCTGGAGATTCGTAAGGTTCAGTATATGTTTGTAGATGATCTTAATTTAGTTAGTATGTTTTAACTCCATGCAAAGACTAGACGGCCGTTGGAGGAAATGTCACTATCTGGACAAAATTTCACACCCACATTTCATTTCAAGACAGGTTTTAGTCAGAATTCAACATGGTTACTATCAGTGTTAAGCATCAAACCTCAGTATTCATGCCTCCATGCTTGTTTTCTCAGAATAGAAATGTTTATTTAATAGTTTTGGTTTATAATTGACTGTGTTTTATTACAGGACATACAGAGAAGATATATTTTGCTAGATTTCACCCAATGGCTAAAGATTTACTTGTGACATCAGCTTATGACATGAGAGTTAAATTCTGGGATTTATCTAATAGAACAGAAATCATGGAAATAACAGAACATCCAGATCAGGTAGTTCATGTTCTGAGATATACACCATATAAACAGTCTTGATTAATTAATAACATATATAGAAGCTTGGTGGCAACGTGGGCCAGCCTGCACCCGCACGCCATCTCCTTAGCAGTGCAAATTAGATATTACCTAATACTACTTGTATCCAGAAGCAATGCATCCTAACTAGTGCTGGCACGATATATCGTTAAATCCATGTATCGTGAGATGCTGAATTGATGATTCTTTTTTTTTATGTTTTTTTTTGTCACTTCAATAAGTAACCTGTCACTCCATATGTACACAAACACCCTTAAATTGTTTTGGTCTTTATTTTGATCCACATCAATATCGTAATATAAAACAGTTTTATTTCTTCGATATTGGAAGCACTAAAAATATCAATTATTCATTTATCCTGTTGTTTTCATGGTAAATGTTGACCTGGTTATAAATCATGATACGGATCGTATCAGGTCACCTGAATGGCAATAAGTATTGTACATGGCAATAAGTATTGTACAGAACAGTAGGGTATTAATAGGATATTGTTCACCTGATATCTTGATATTGTTAAATATTATTTATAGGTATTTTGTTGTGCATGGAGTCCCGATGGTAAACAGCTAGCTACCGTATGTAAAGATGGTAAAACGAGAATATTTGATCCTAGAAATAGTTTAAACTCAATACAGGTAAGTTCTAATGTCACATGATCACAAAGAGACAGGGATAGTTTGCCGTAGTTCTAGCATCACATGATTACAAGAAGGAGGCAGGGATAGTTTGCTGTAGTTTTAGTATCACATGGTTACATGGTGGAGGTGACAGATAGTTTGCTATAGTTTTAGTACCACATGATTTCAGATAGACACAGAAAAATAAAATATGAAAAAATGTGGTGGAGGGAGGGGGGGGGGGTGTATCAATGTGTATCTTATCATTGGGCATCTTTGCATCTAAGAGAATGAGAACTTTCCTATTTGATGTTTGAATTTATTTGATTTTTACATCATATTTTGTTAGGCTGTGCTTTAAATGTATTTATACATGGATGGGAGGGAGTGGAAGGGAAATGATACTCAATGCCAGGGCTGATGTTTCAATTATGTATAGGTATAGATAGAGGAGAGGAGAGGATGAAGGTGGGGGTGGGGGATAATTTTCTGGTAAGGGACAATACTAATGTCCAAAAGAAAGTATACACACTAAAACTATGACTAAGTTTTGTTAAAATAAAAAAAAATGTGATAAAACTACACTGAACATATCTAGTGCGTCCAAAATCAATATTTTTAAGCAAATCAAAGGCAAAACAAATACCGCATACAATGGGAAAACGACTATGTTTGAAGCAGGACAAAATGAACAGTGTATACTTCCTTTTGGACATTAGTATATTATATTTTGGTAAAGTACCATATAAGTTGGTTAGGGACCATATATTATCTATTATAGGTTGGCTTGGGACCAGTAGGAAGTAGGGGAGCAAGATGTGGTTGGGCTTTAGGTGGAAAATATTTTTATACATCTGGTTTTAACAGGTAAGTTTTTCTTAGTTTCACTGAAAATCAATAAACCATGAAATGAGAGAAATGGGGTTTAACGTCCACTCGACACAAACTAGGTCATTTTGGGACTAACACATGGTTCAATTTTATTTCAATAATTTGCATGGGCGTAGCGGTCTTTAGCAGTGGGAGGAAACCAGAGGACCCGGAGAAAACCCATGAGGTTGGACAGGCGACAATAATATAATGCACAACAAGCCAACAGTGAGGCTGATGTCCCCCACCGAAATCCCAAAATAAATAGACGACACATATTAATTAATCACACATTTATTTTTTATCAAAAGTATCAAGCAATCAAGCTGATTATCAACTATACATTAAGTTTCATCACTCTCTATGAGTTATCTTATTCCAAAGCATCGACCAATGAAACAGGCGACTCTACTCCTTGTTACGTACAACCAGGGAATCGAAACCAAGGCAGTTGACTCAATGACAGACCTCAGGATACAGCGCGCACGTGCTAACCATTCGAAAATCCAACCCCCTTCCCATGAAATGAAATGAAACTTGTTTTTGATGTATAACTAAAATGACTGTGTCATCATACTATTGGTTTTTGTTCTAAGAATTAATTGTAAATAACAATATTTATTGACAGAACTGGTTCAAGAGAAATATGTTTATTTGATGTAGAAGATTTATCAACACCTTTAAATCGTATTGCTCTTGGTACAGCTCCATCTATACTCGTACCATATTATGATGAAGATAGCAGTACACTCTTTCTTACTGGTCGGGTAAGTCTATTTGTATAGTCCTGCTACGTCTGGTTGAGTCAGTCTATTTGTATAGTCCCTCTACAACTGGTTGAGTAAGTCTATGAGTATAGTCCCTCTACAGCTGGTCGAGTAAGCCTATGTGTATATTCCCTCTACGTCTGGTCGAGTAAGTCTGCATATAGTCCCTCTACAACTGGTCGAGTAAGTCTATTTTTTTAGATATAAAAGTTTAATGTGCCTGAGAAACATAACATTTTATTTTATGTGGCCTTGAATGAAATATTTGTGTTTGTTTTTATTCCAGGGAGATGGTCTGGTGTATGCACTAGAGATAGCAGAAGATAGACCAAATTTATTTGATTTATCAACAACTAAACTGGGTGGGTTACATCAAGCCTTCTCCTTCCAGACCAAAAATAAATGTGTAATAAAAGACGTAGAGTTTGCACGAGCGTGGAGATTAACGAAGTCAACTGTAGAACCAGTAACATTCACAGTACCTAGAGTTAAGGTATGAATATTCTTATTCTGTACCCCCTGTCCTCTGGAGTAGACTACCATGGAAACAAACTCTGTGTCATTCAAATCTATTCTGTGCACATAAAAGATCCCTTGACAGCCGGAATTTGATATAAGAGTAGGTCGTAGTGCCGCAGTCCGGGCAAATTTTCCTTCATAGCACACTGTATGGCATATGCCCGTCTTCATTAGCCCAGTCAAAGCAGAACAGTAGGACGTTAAACCCCATTTCATTTCATATATCCAATAGTTTAAAAATTGACACGAGGATAAGCCCCATGAATCACATTTTGGCTCGCTACACTGATAGCCCCTGTAATATGAATTTCGTTTCCGTAAGGCGTGTTGTTGGCTCCTCCCACTGCTAAAGAAAATAATTAGAAGTTAAACTCGAAATGACCTAGTTTATGACTGTTGAGTAAACATTAAACCCTTATTTCTCTCTCTGGTTTAAGGAGGGTTGGGTGGATAGTCGAACGGTTAGTGTGTGCGTGCTGTATCATAAGGTCTGTCATTGAGTCAACTGGCGTGGTTTCAATTCCCTGGTTTTACGTGACAAGGAGTAGCGTCGCCTGTCCAACCTCATGGGTTTTCTCCAGGTCTTCCGGTTTCCTCCCACTGCTAAAGACCTCTACGTGCAAGCGAATTATTGAAATAAAATTAAACCATATGTTAGTCCCGAAATGACCTAGTTTGTGTCGAGTGAACGTTGAACCCCATTTCTCTCTCTCTCTCTCTCTATGGTTGTGTTTTTGAATTTTCAGAAAGAATATTTTCAAGATGATTTATTTCCTGACACTAAAGTTACGTGGGAGCCTGTGTTGACGTGTTCTGAGTGGATGTCAGGACAAGATAGAGTACAGAAAATTATCAGTTTACGACCGACTGACATGAAACCATGTAAGATAACCGTTTATAATTATGATAACACTGTAACCCTGATATCATTTAATCCTATCTTATTCAAACACAGATCCTATTTCGTTTTTTTCTAATCCAAAACTTTGTTTTACTAGCCTTTACTACACTATGATCTTGAAGAGTTGTTATATAACCCGCATTCTGGTTAATGTGAGGGATTAGCCAATGAAACAGTCTGTTGCAGCTAGTTATTGGCGTGCGATGCACGGAACTGTGGATAGGCTACTAGAAACATCAACGTTGATTGGTTAATGAAATGTCTGACGTCATAGGGTCAAAAGCGGCTCATATGACCCCTGACCCGACCTCCCAGGACAACCGAGTCAGATCTACACGTAGTGCAGGTCATCGAAAAAATATAAAACCAAACGAGATATAGATCTGCGTTTTAATCACATTGATTTAGCCCTGATTTCTTTCACATTCATTCAATATCAAATTTTTGTGTGGAAATTCGTAAAAATCGTCTTAAATCGTCCAAAATCATCCAATTTGTACTTGTGTCCAGTTTAAAGCTGACCATTCAATTTTGATAATGAGTGTCCAATTTACAAGCATTTAATTTCCTGACCACTGTTCAAAACTTCGCCTCAATTAACTATAATACTTAATATTTGATGTTGAATGTATGAGAAAGAAATATTACCATGTAAACCTCGTGATGATGGTGAAGGTTACTGTTATAATTCTCTCTGTTTCATTACCTAAAGATATTTTAAACTCTACTTGTACAGTAGTAGGATGTAAACCCTATTTCATTTCATTTCTATTTGTACAGTAAGTGAAGCACCAGTTGAAGGTCCGAGAGCTAAAAAATATGAAAGTTTTAACATTGAAACATATAAATCAGATGACCAGAAGAAGGAAGAGGTAAAAATTAATATTCGTACAATCTTGATTGATAACTTGGCAGTGTTCTTCTGCTTAGGTTAGTCCTTGGCAGTTGTGCAGGACGGAGGGTCGGGCAAAGAACAATGTATAGTCATTCGGATTGGATGAAAAAAACGAAGTCCTGTGTACACATTGACCTGCAGGCAAAAAAAAAAAAACAACCCTTAAACGCTGGAATTCAAATCAAGAATAGGCTGTAGCGTCGCTGTTGGGGCAAAATTTCAATCATAGCACACTGCATGGCGTATGCCATTCTGTATTAGTCCAGTCATAGCCGAACAGTTGGAGCTTAAACCCCATTTCATTTCATTTCATTTGACTTCTTTTGCTTAGCATTACATGTATAGCCTAATAAACTTGTGTCTTTTGAAATTATAGACATGTGCCTGGGTGGATGTGGGAAGTTTTTAATAGTTTAGTTATTAGATGTTATTATGTTATATATTTCATCTTTTATATTATAGTTATTAGATGCCATTATGTTAAATATTTATATATTTTGTTGTTTATGTTTAGTTTTAGATGTTGTTAGATGCCATTATGTTATATGTTTTGTCTGGTATATTTTAGTTATTTGATGAGATTATATTATATATTTTGTTGTGTATATTATATATTTTGTTGTGTGTATTATAGTTATTAGATGCCATTATGTTGTATATTTTGTTATATATTAGTTGCCACTGTGTTATATATTTATATATTTTGTTGTGTATATTATAGTTATTAGATGCCATGACAAATAAACTATCATTAGCTGATGGTCCTCTACCACAAGATTTATTTGAAGGTGTTGAGGAAGAGGAGTGGGTGAGTAATAACAAACATGGCTTCAGTTTATAAACAATTGATAATGTTAAATAAATAATAAGTGGTATGAGGTGGTCAGGAACGACTAAACATAGCCTGTCATGTGTCAGACAATAGTCTCTACATAGTGCCACTGGAACCACTGAAACCGCTGTGATTCAGGTAATATGGTGCTGGCTCATTAACCAGAAGTTCCAGGGTGCAATCCCAGTCATAGCTCAGAAAGTTCCTCAAATAAAATTTTCTGGCCTGGTCCATGCGGTGTAGGATAGAGGATCTTCCAAATAAAAGAACTCTTGACAGTTGGAATTTGATGAGAGTTGCTCACACGATGGATCAACTAAATTTATTACATTAGCGGCACGACGCCATCCACACAATTACTGTGCAATCATGGCACTACCAAAGCCTGATATACAGCATTTATGACCTGTAATGGCAATTTAACAGGAAATAGAATTTTGACCTCAAACAGTTGTGGAGCAATCTGTTTAAAACACAGATCCTATTTCGTTTTGTTTTTATAGTTCAAAATTGCGTTTTACTTGTCTTTACTACACTTGGATCTGGAAGAGTTGTTACCATTGACATGTTCTGGATGATGTGAGGGATTAGCCAATGAAACGGTCTGTTGTGGCGAGTTCTTGGCCTTATTACGCACGGAACTGTGGGTAAACCACTAGAAACGTCAACGCTGAATGATTAATCAATGTCTGACATCATAGGGTCAAAAGCCGCTTGTTTGACCTCTGACATGAACTCCGACTATAACTTGTCAGGTCTTCATGTAGTGTAGGCCATCGAAAGTATAAAAAAACAAAACGAAGTATAGATCTGTATTTTAATCAAATTGATTGTGGAGATTCATGGATAATCTGACTTTTTTTCTTTTTTTTATGAATAGTAAGGGTTTTTCTAGTAATGTATTTTAACATGAATTGTAAAGGTTGTTCTAGTAATGTATTTTAACATGAATCGTAAGGATTGTTTTAACACGATCATAAGGATTGTTTTAGTAATGTATTTTAACATGATCGTAAGGGTTGTTTTAGTAATGTATTTTAACATGAATCGTAAGGGTTGTCTTAGTAATGTATTTTAACATAATTATAAGAGTTGTTTTAGTAGAATATGTTAAATTTTGCTTTTCATTTATTTTCAGGATGATTATTAAAGTGAAGCAAGTCGGTATAAGACCAATTAGTATTAAACTTGAAAATTATTGCAAAAATTCATGGTGCAATAATGTTTAATATTAGGCAGCAGTATTATGGGAACTTCGGAGATAATATTTTGGGACAAAAATAACATATTTTTAAGGCAGTTACCTGAAATATATTTCAGGAAAAGTAATATTCTTATCTGTAATTTCAGGCCAAGTTTTATATTCCCCTCATTTATATTGTCTATATTCTATTAATGCTAGGTTCCCACTTTCGTGTGATGCGTTGCGATAGGATTGTCCCTTTTGAGTCGGGGTGTTGGATGGCCGAATGGTTAGCACGTGCGCGCTGTATCATAAGGCCTGTCATTGAGTCAACTGCCGTGGTTTTGAATCCCTGGTTGTACGTGACAAGGAGTAGGGTCCAACCTCGTGGGTTTTCTCCGGGTCCTCCGGTTTCCTCCCACTGCTAAAGACCCCTTGTATAAGCGAATTATTGAAATAAAATTAAACCGTATGTTAGTCCCGAAATGATCTAGTTTGTGTCGAGTGGATGTTACACTCATTTCTCCCTCTCCCTCCCCATTGAGTCCTCGATACATTAGGATACGTTTCGATGCGAACAACACGATTGCTACAAATGACCTCAATATAAGCTAAGACCTGATTGGATCACACGATTACTCCATGATTAAAACCACAATTTCAATCTCAGCACGAAACGTGATAGTGGGAACCCAGCATAACTATTTTCTAGTCTGTTGCCTTCTATTGTCTTAATTCGTAATAAGTCTTCGTGAATTGAAAAGTTGTAATTAAAAACGTATTTTAAAATAAATTTCATCAAAATTTTTCCATGTACAGAGTGTGTACCAGGGCTTTCACATAAAAATCATGTCTGTCAGTCCATTTTAGATGTATTGTTAATTTATTATAATTTACAATAATATGTGATAGACAATAATTCTTAGATTATGGGATAGTTAATTATGCAATATTAATTCTAAAATTAAAACACTTATATAGATGTACTACTTCTGAATTTTATTAGCATGCTACGTTTCAATACACATACAGGTATCGTTATCAAGTAGATAATCATTAGTAAATCCATACAAGTGTTTTAATTTTAGTGAAATCTGTTGTTATATATATCTTAAAAGAAAGAGGATCCTCTTTCTTTTGATATTTTTCACGGATCGGTTCCTGCTTTTCCCCGGATGTATCACTGAGATCCAGACTCTCCTGCACTGTATTAGGGAATCTTCCGCCCTCCTTTTTATTGAGTGTGGGGGTTTTATCGTCCTTTACTTGGATTATCTGTTGTTATATATCTTATAAGGATAATATTAAACATACATTATGTAAGATTTAGATAAAGAGCTAGCCATTCTTGCTATAGTAGTTCGAAAATAGATAACGTAAAATGAATAATTTGAAAATTTCATTCAAATTACACTATTGCGATCGAAGATATTAGACTTTGAAGGTTTGACAAGACATGTGCAATAATTTCAACAACCCTACTGGTTGTTCAAAGCTAAGTCTCGCTCCTCCATTTTTAGCTTAAATCAAAACATGGCTGAACTGTTCTAATCTATTTAATATCGGAGAAATTTGATGCCATAGAGAGTTGATTATGACCTGGATAAGTTAATTAATGTCTAATTAATAGTTTACATCTCATGCCTAAAGAAATACCTTCTATGGACAGATTTAGCTCTTGCATAATGTATGTTTTATGCTAATTAAGTATGTAAATACATTGTTATTAATATAGATATATATCAGTTGTATATTCTATAATATTGTTGATTGGCTGACCACATTCTGTATGCTTCCATGATTGGATGGGTGTGTGGTCTAGTGTATGCGCTTTAGATCATAAGAATTGTAATTGAGTCAAGTACTAGCCTGCCTAACCTTATGTTTTTTCTTCAGTGTCCTCCAGTTTCCTCCTACTATGAGAGATGCATGCACAATATATACAACATGTTAGTCCCAATATGACCCAGTTTGTGTAGCATTGACGTTAAGTGAGGTTAGGTGGTCTAGTGGTTTAACGCGTGCACGTGAAATCATAAGGTCTGTCGATTCCCCTCTTGTATGTAACATGGAGTAGAGTTGCCTGTCCAACCTCATCGGTTTTATCCGCGTCCTCTGGTTTCCTCCCACTGCTAAAGACCCCTGCTAAAGAGGTTAAACCCCATTTCTCTCTCTCTCTCTCTCAGAGACATTAAACAGTATTTCTGGCTTTCTGTCATTAATTCTTACATCAGTTGTTATTTCGTACGTCTATTATAGAAGCCAAGTTGATGTAAATTAAAAATTTGACATGCAATTTGTTTTAGCATCTTGTTTTTTACTGACCGTGAATGAATGTGACAAGATATTTTGTATTCTGTCTTTTGTTAATGATCGCAATTGTACAGAAAAATTTACAGGGGTTCTTTCATATTTATATATCATGTTTGCATATGTACAGCAAGTTTAAAGATTTTATAGAATTTTTTGTACAAATAATGTTTTTGAATATATCAAATAGCAGCTAATATATATAACTATTGTTAATGAATATCACTGTTATACAGCAAACATTTGAATGTCCGATATTGATGAGCATATTCCATAAGCAATGGCTTGTTTATATCGTTAATTGATATTTTACTAATGTTAGTATTTATTAGATGTAGTAGTATTAATTCAATTCATTAATTTTTTTATCGCAAAATGAGGACAGTTTTCTATGAAAATATCTTTTTCAAAATAGTATAATCACTTCAGGACACAAGTTCACAAAGCATTCTCAGATTTTAAGTTAAGTTGTTCACCTTGTTTTAACTAAAATATAGCCCTTTATAAAACTTTGCAAAGTTTTGTGTTTCTGGATCAAAGATATTTCTCATAAACAGTGATTGAAAGTTGAGTAAATTCTTAACTTAAGTCTGAGAATGCTTCATGAACTCAGGGCTCTCGCTTAAAAGTACCATATACAGAGGATAACATCATCAGAGCCATCTTGGAATTGTGGCGTCATTTCAAAATTTAAAGTCCATCAATTGATGCACAATTGTCCAAGGAACAAGCCTGCCAAGTTTGATGTCAATCGTACATGAATTGGGTAGCAGAAGGCTTTTTCCGAAGAGTGCCGCCCTCCAAGAACAACTGTCCCCAAAAAATTAATCTTGACAATTTACAATTAGTAGTTATATGCAGGCCTGGAAATTATGGTTTCAGATGTACGTGACAAAATGTCAGGCACCAATGAAATAGTACCTGCCATTTTCAATTTAGTGCCAGACATGTATTAATAATATCAATAAAAAAGACAAATCAATGCCAGACAAAATGACAGGCACCAGAGGATTAGTACCTGACAAAGCCTGTATTTGTGCTTGACATTGATTGTGACAGTTGCCTTATTTCCAGGCTTGTTTATATATGATACAATGTGAGTGTTTTGTTAATGATATCATGAATTAAATGTGTTCAATACAATAATTATTCACATAATATATGATCTAATTTTTGTTGTTGAAGGTATTTTTGTATTTTGTTTTGTACTAACAACACTCAGAAAAATATTTTTTGGTGAATTTATTTTTACAAATTTTTTTTGTAGATTTATGTTTTTGAACTAGTCTATTTTTTCTTGACTTGTAATATTAGTACATTCCCTTTAAATATTGCATTCTTTTACAGTAGTAGTTTGTCAGAGAGGGATTGGGTTTGTCAGAGATTATTGCAATCTGATTAAAATACAGATCTATATTACGTTTCGTTTTTTTATACTTTCGATGGCCTAGAGTACTTGAAGATCTGACCGGTTGTAGCGATAGATCGCGCCCGAGGTCATACGAGCAGCTTTTGACCCTATGACGTCAGACATTTGATAAACCAATCTGCATTGATGTTACTAGTGGATTACCCACAGTTCCACACCTAAAGCTCACTGTAACAGACTGCTTCATTGGATAATCCCTCACACCGTTCAGAACACGTCAATGATAACAACTCTTCCAGATCCTAATGTAGTAAAGACAAGTAAAACGACATTTTTAACTATAAAAACGAAACGAAACAGGATCTGTGTTTTAATCAGATAGAGATTATTGCCTATTATGTTTGGAAGGGGACAGCAGTAGGAGTAGGGCACTGACCACTTAACCAGCATCCTGGGGTGGACAGAGAATAATGTTCTAGATTTTTACTTGAACAAAGCCTTGGTATCTCATTCCATTAGGGGGGGTTGGATGGCTGAATGGTTAGCGTGCGCGCGCTGTATCATACAGTCTGTCATTGAGTCGACTGGCGTGGTTTCAAATCTCCGGTTGTACGTGACAAGGAGTAGGGTCGCCTGTCTAACCTCGTGGGTTTTCTCCGGGTCCTCCGGTTTCCTCCCACTGCTAAAGACCCCTACGCACAAGCGAATCATTGAAATAAAATTAAACCATATGTTAGTCCCGAAATGACCTAGTTTGTGTCGAGTGGACGTTAAACCCCATTTCTCTCTCTCTCTCTTTCTCTCTCCCATTCCATTATGAAGATACTAGGTGTGAGACAAACACTCTCTATACTGTACTACTGTTTATATTGAAATGAGACCAAGTTTAGTATTGTTATGCCAGTATAAAATATTTTTTTTACCTCAGAACAATAAAATCAATTAGTACTGATCATTTACAATATAGATTCTAGTCAACCCGTTATTATATACCGGAAGCGTCAGGGTCTGTTTCGATTAGAAAAGATCCTGGGCTTTAAAGCACATAGGGTAGATAACTCTTCTAATGTTATCGATAAGCAGGCCAGCAAATATTCTTGCATTATATTTTGTTATGTGTGATAAATTTCATAATCTACTGAGTGATATCTCCTGGGTGGCATTTGATCATAACGTCTGTCATTGAGTCAAGTGGCATGGTGTCAACTCCTCGCTTGTACGTGACAAGGAGTTGGCTCGCCTGTCCAACCTTGTGGGTTTTCTTCCGGTCATCCTGTTTCCTCCCACTGCTAAAGACCCCTACGTAAATTATTGAATAAAATTGAACCATATGTTAGTCCCGAAATGATCTAGTTTGTGTCATGTGGACGTTATATCCCATTTCACTGCCTCTCTATATGATACAGTTGCTAAAAGTATCTCATGGATTAAGTAATTCTTGTTTGACCAATTTCATTTCACAAAGCGTTGCGATTGATTGATAAATATTAATATTGACTAGAAAGATAAATGTTGACAAGTATATTTTTTTATTGCAATGAATGAATTTGTTTACATAAATAGTGAATTTGCTTACATAAAAAGATCAACTTAGACTTAGTGATATCTACACAAACAAATTTGTTAACATTTGTTGTTTTGGTTATACAAAAAAAATTGTAGTGTATCATACATTTAATAAAATATTCTCAAACTTTCTGTTTCAATTTTCAGTTATTTACAAGAGACTAGTGAAACTTGAAAAGGACAAGACTAATTAGATCTCTTGATTTTCAAGGCCCACAAGCTCTGCATAAATTGAACATGATGCAATGTTGACCAATCACCAGCTGAAATGTCTGATTATGCCACAATTTTTCGATTTCCAACCGTCAAGTGTTCTTTTATATGCATGCCAATGTGTACACGTATAAACCTTGGTTTACAGATCCCTCCGAATGACTGGGCAGCAGACACCACCGCTGACAAACGTAGGCCTTGTTTGAAAAATCGGGAAGATTATTCTCGGCCCGAGCCAGGATTTGAGTCCAGGATGTTCTAATTAAGAGATGATTTTCTTGAACACTCAAGTACAGCAGCCCCTACTTGTTTCAAACCATTGGATATTTTGAATGTTATTGTGAGAGACTTATCAAAAAAGACTCCATTGACTGTACAGTATTTTAATATCGGTCTTAAATAATTATCTACATAGCATATATGTCAAATTAACATTAATATAAAATTTTCAATGTTACATACAAAACAAATATACATCATACAATAATTCCATAACCCCCTGCCCCTTCACAAACAATAAACATTAAAACATGAAATAAAGAATATAAATAAAACATCTTCTTGAAATTATTACATCATTGAAATAACAATTAAGGTTTATCATTAACAAGATTCACTAGAAACTGAACATAATGCCTATGTTAAATTGTTTTAATTGTATTTAGTAACTGAACTTGAAATATACAGATCACAATTCTATGGACTACAATTACTGCTTATTACTGAGAGATGTTTCGACTAGGCTTCTATAGTCATTAACTATCAATGATACTGCTGTTTATTAATATGAGAGAGTGGGGGGGGGGGGAGGGTTTAACACCACTCGACACAAACTAGGCCATTTTAGGACTAACATGGTTCAATCTTATTTTAATAATTTGCTAGCGTGTAGGGGTCTTTAGCAGTGGGGGGAAGCCTAGTTGAAACATTACTCAGTAATATGCAGTAATTGTATTCCATAGAATTGTGCCCTGTGAAAGCCTGTGTTGGGATCAATGGACAATGTATTATTAATAATGGCTTCATTATAAGGCAAGGCGAGAGCAATGATGATGCCCTTGTGTTAAGACAGCATGCTGAATCCTCAAAATTCCAGAACAGAAGTTAAATATCGAATGATGGACTTTTAACTGAATTCACTGTTTCTTAAAATAATCAAATATTTATTTGGGGTTGAAATTACGTACCACCATACTATGGACCACTAACTGAGTAGGATGACATTACAGCCATCTTAGAATAGAATTGTGATGTCACATTAAAAATTGAAGTTCACAGAACAAATTTCAAGTCGATTGCACATGAATTGGCAGAGCCATAGCCATTTTCCAAAGAGCGTCCCCCCCACCCCAAGGAGAACAAATAAATGTTACTGTTAGTCACAATTCTTATACAATCTTGATGAGTATATCAGATTTAAAATGATCCTGAAGAAATGTTTTGTATCTGGTTGCTTTCTTTCTTTAAGATCTGACAATCTTTGATGATATCTGTTCTATCACAAGTCAAGGTTTATTTTCACAATAAAATGATGTTTTAATGTCTTTGATTATAAATTAAGAGCCTATTAGAAATAAAATCAGTGAATATGTCCTACTCTATCTCTAGGTATTAAACGTAATTCTGAACCATGTTTTAAAAACACATTCCCTGTAATAATAAAATATATACATTATGAGAGAGAAAGAAATGGGGTTTAACGTAAACTCGACACAAACTAGGGCATTTCGGGACAAACATATTGTTCAATCCTATTTCAATAATTCGTTTGTGCATAGGGGTCTTTGGCAGTGGGAGGAAACTGGAGGACCCGGGGAAAACCAACAATGTTGAACAATCGAGAATTAAGAGAGGAAGAGAGAGAGAGTGAGAGAAATGGGGTTTTCATGTTCACTCAACATAAACTAGGTCATGTTGGGACTAACATATGGTTCAATTTTATTTCAATAATTCCTTTGTGCATAGGTGATCCTACTCTTTGTCAAGCACAATCTGGGAATCGAAACCATGTCACGTTGTTGTGTCTTTACATTTAGTACTCATTATTTCTATGATTAGGTGTGCAAATGATGATGTGTCAGATTCGTTAATCATGATAATGAAATGAAATTTTGGTTTAACGTCCTACTCCTAAACTGGGCTAATGAAGACGGATATAGTGTGCTATGAGGGAAATTTTGCCTGGGAAGCAGCACTATGGACTACTCTTATATTGAATTCCAACTGCCATGGGATATTTTACATGCACGCCAATGTATACACGGAACCAAAGTTTTTCTTCCCATCTGAACGACTAGACAGCTGTCCTTGTCAGGCTCTCCGTCCTGCACCACTGACAATGGGAAACCACATCGGAAATTCCTGATGAACTTTCTCGGCCAATGCAGGGATCGAACACGCGACCTACAGGCTAGCAAGCCACTTAGCCACCATGGCTCCCTTATCATGATAAAACTATAAAGATATGAAATGGGGTTGAACATTCTACTTTTCAGAACTGACACTATATAAAGCAACACATACCTGCACTTTGAGCTGGGTTAATTCCTATACCATCATTAGTTATAATAGCACTGGTTGCTGCTGGTACTTTAAACTATTAAATAAATTCAAATCCATAAAAATACAGTAATTTATGGGTCACAACATGCAATGAAATCAAACAGAGTTTTAACAGCCTACTTTTCTGCATCAACTGGGCTAATGAAGATGGACATACACCAGGTATTGTGCTATGATGGAAATTTTGCCTGGACTTTGGCACTAAGGCCTACTTTTATATCGAATTCCAACTGTCAGGGGATCTTTTACGTGCACACAGGACCTGTTTTTTTTCTCCATCTGATGGGCTATACATTGTCCATTGCCAGGACCTCTGTCCTGCACCAAAGACACAGAGGAACTTGGCCGGAAATTTTGCCAACTACTCTTCATCTTATTCCAACTGTCGAGGGATCTTTCGTGCGATTCGAATGACAAGACGTTGTTCCTTATGTCAAGCCCTACAACCTGTACCACTGACAGGAGGAAACTTTCTTTGCTATCACTAGTGAATTTTTTCCTTTCCCTTTAGATAAGATATCTTTTCAATACCCCGCCCCAGGGTGAATGTGAATCCATTGTTATATCCAACCATGATAATATGCCAACAGATCTGTAAAAAGCTATTGTACACATTTTTATTTATAGAACATGTAAATTAGATCATTACCTCTTCAGCAGCAAACTTTAACACAGCTGTAAATGGTGTCTGTTCTGGAACACTTAGTCTGAAAAAAAATGGGTATAATAATTTTTATGTTTTCTACAGTAAAGTTGTTCATGATGTTTCCAGCATGGTTTCACAGTGGACTGGTAAAAAATGTTCTGTATTTGACCACTGTATGGATTGTGATTGATATTTATATTGAGTTGTATTATGATTTGTTTCTAGAGTTGTTCATGTATCCAGTATGGTTTCACAGTTTAGTGGTACAATATGAATAAGTTCTAAAGCTTTTAAAATAAAATACTAACTGAAATCCTCCTGACCATCATGAATGGCAGTATAAACGAACATCATTTCCTTCATTTTCACAATTAAAAATTAATTAGGTTTAGTTAGGCCTATGCCTATATACTTATGGCGGGGTATCGGGTTCAAAATGCAATCTAGAGTAAAAAGCAGAAAGTCAACAGTAAAAAGTAGAAAATCTAAAGTAAACGGGAAAATTCTTATCTAAAAGGGTATTTTTATGGTGAAAACATATAAATTTATGTACTTAGTCAGTAGAAACATCAAGCTTTTCAACTTTTAATTGTCATAATTCTACTTTCATGGACAAAATTTCTTCTTTCTACTATCAACTTTTGACTTTCCGCTTTCTACTATCAACTTTCCGCTTTCTACTATCAACTTTTGACTCTCGACTTTCCACTTCAGATTTTCTACTCAGGATTTTCTAACGCAGATTTTCTCCAATACTATGGTGGCTGAAAGTGGCCATGTAATTTTTCGCCATTTTCATAACCCGACAACACGACATCATTAGTGAGAGCATACGTCAATGTAGACTTGGATATTATAGACCTTTGGCAAGCGTAAATTCCTGCTCCGCATCGCGTATCCGTATGGATTTTGTGTGTGACGTCATCATCAATGTGTGTGTATTTCTCATACGTGATACGGCACACGGATACGGCGGCACGTATCGAACAGCTTTCATACGGAAAGGTCTGTATAACATCGTCGTCTTTTCATCGCCTTTTTTGCTACTTTTATACGCTGAAATGTTGTGGCATAGCGTTTTTATGAATCTATGTGTATCCTAGAACACGAAGGTGTATATTTGATGTGATTTTAACCATGATAAAGACGTGTTTTTAATCATTATTTTTTATAAGTTTTTCTTGGAATTTTCATATTTTTCCTGCTTGTCTGCATGCTGATTGATCTACATGCTAAATTTAGGGAGGTGTAAATGGTGTGATTCTACCGTAAAGGGGTATAAACTTTCTGAAATGAGTGAAACCCAAAATTGCTGTCGAGTCTAGGCATTTGTGGCTAGGCACTTGACTAGCACTGATGGTGATTTTGGTAGATAACCGTCGTCATGTTGTAAGAGAACTAAGCTAAGCTCAACTACTCATACGTACGCGGCACGAACGTCTGTCAAAACTCTAAAACTACACTGACGCAATGTATCACGTATACGATACGGATACGCGATACGGATGTGAAAAATTTCACTTGCCAAAAGTCTATAATATCCAAGTCTACTTTGAAGTATGCTCTCACTAATACTGTCGTTATGTCGTGTTGTCGGGTTATGAAAATGGCGAAAAATTACATGGCCACTTTCAGCCACCATAGTATTGGAGAAAATCAGCGTTAGAAAATCCTGAGTAGAAAATCTGAAGTGGAAAGTCGAGAGTCAAAAGTTGATAGTAGAAAGTAGAAAGCGTAAAGTCGAAAGTCAAAAGTTGATAGTAGAAAGGAGAAATTTTGTCCATGAAAGTAGAATTATGACGATTAAAAGTTGAAAAGCTTGATGTTTCTACTGACTAAGTACATAAATTTATAGGTGTTCACCATAGAAATTGTTAGAAATACCCTTTTAGATAAGAATTTTCCCGTTTACTTTAGATTTTCTACTTTTTACTGTTGACTTTCTGCTTTTTACTCTAGATTGCATTTTGAACCCGATACCCCGCCATATATACTAAGCATACCTATCAATCATTTATATTTAGGCGTATGTATGACAGGACTGGATGAAAGCCCGATTCCCTAAGGATTTTTTAATTTGATCCTGCATATAGAAATCCACTATAAACCAGCGAACTTTTAAAAGAAAGGAGATGGAAATGTTTGTAATTCTATCACCTTAAAACTTAAAGAGACATTTTTGATTATTTATATCTAAAAAGAAATGTAAAAAATAAAAATCGTCTGCATCAAGCATATTTGAGTGACGACATATGGTAACTTACACTTTGTACGGTAGCTTTGGATCAGACGTCAGGGTTATCTTAAAAGTAACTTTAGACCTGAAACAAGATGATAAACAAATAAATCTTAAAATATTCACCGATAATTCTATGAAAACAATAAATATTTACAATAAACAACCAACAAATCCTGCTTACATTTTCACGTTTCACTTCGACACGAGGAAGCGGAAGTATGGCTGCGCAGTAAATTTGCTGCTGAAGTACAAAAATCAAGATTATATTATCAAAAAATATATTCGCAAAACATAGAGGTTATTTTTCGTTTATTTTCCATAATCTATTTTGATTTTTCATCAAATTTATTTTTTCAATTTATTTTTACGAATTTTCTGTTCTCGAGGTGTAAGAGGTCAAAGTTCAGTAACCCTGACCACAGCGCCTCCGAACGGTAAAAAGCGAAACGAGCACCTGTTCGGTTATTATTTGGTCATGTGATTTCATTGCCTCTGGTCATGTCAAAAATGGCCTGGTGGAGTGGTGGACATATCATAATATTACTATTAGCAATATTTATTCCGGTTGTGATTTTATCGGAGGAAAAATACGATGGAAATTTACTTGAACATAGCGAAGATATTATTAAATCGCAAGATGCGGAAGAATCACTTTACAAAAAGGATATAAGCCAATTAACAGGTAAGAGGCGTGTTTATATTATCCACAGATATATGATTTCCGATATAATCTATATCAATTATTTTCATGAAAAATAAAATCTTATCAATTGAATTTTAAACCAGTTGACTTGTAAATACATTTTTTCTTTCAGTTTAATGTTTATTTTTCAGTGACAATAAAGTATTTTGACTTTGTTGTTGATGTCTTCAGAATTAAAACAAAAGTCGCAGCGTTTTTGTTATATGGCAAAAAGAGTTATTTTTTATTATTTTTTTTTTTACTATTTCATTTGTTTTTAAATATTTAATGAATTCCAAACAGTATCAGAATAAAAATATGCTTTTCAGGAAAATAAGGGAGAACCGTAAAAATGATAAAACGCACCGCATAAAACAATAACAATAAACCATAGACGTGTTTACAGTATCAGGAAACAGTTCGTCTAATTTTAATGGAAATTTTCATAAAATACAAGTTCACGCGTATTTTTCCGGTTGAAGAGGGACATATTTTCAGTTCCTTGGGCTCTATTTTCTTTTATTGGTGTAATATTATAACTTTTCTTTATATCGTTTGTTTTATTAATTTTTTATATATATATATGGGGGCGGGGTATTTGTTCGATAATTTGCTTGGGATTCTGTCTGGTTGGGAGAGTAATTAAAAAAAAAGAATCCATCTCTTTCCTGAGATACTCGACTTTAAATGAAATAAGGATATATATTAAATTTACCATTTCTGGGCTGATAAACCGTGCTAGATACCAACTAGTAGAAAGTGACAGGAAGATAATAACGGGATCGGGTACGGAGATGATATGAGATTCCGGGTTTAATGATAATCTCAATCAGTCGTGTGAAGTGTTTAGACTTCATTTAATTAAAAACTTTGAAGCGTGTAGCGACCAAGAAGCGACAGTGTCTTCGTGCGTTTAATTTATTCAGACAATTGTTATCAATCCGGAGCTTGACACTCTGAGGTACTATCTTAAAACAGTGATAACAGTCAGTAGGTACAACACTCGGCGCACATTACCACTCATAGGTGTTGAAGTACGAACGAGAAATCGTCGAGCGCGTCGCTACGTGGTCGTGGCAGGTAGCTTATCAATACATTACCGTTAGATTTAACGGTAAGCGACAAGCTTTACGATCGCCAGCCCGCGGCCCCGATCAGTCAATATTTAACTTGAAGGAACTTAGTAAACCCGTTAGAACATAATATTGTCCTTCGATCAAATGAAATGAAATGAATTAGAGTTTATTTACAAGCTTGTAACAGTCAGTTAGCTACAATTAAACTTGGACGTATTTTGTCGAACTTTGTAATTAATGATAATGAGGTAGATATTTGCAATGTTATGGAAAAATAATAAACCGTTCATAATCGACTGTGATCACTCACTTATACATATGTATACATACATTAGTTATTTGCATATACATATGTTACACACATCTGTTATTTACATATATATGTATTACATAATATGTTATTTGCATATACGTGTATTACATGCAGTTGTTATTTGCATACATGTGAATGTATCTGTATATGTTGTTTTATGCAGCCTTTTGACCAGAGATAGACTGGCCGCCGGAGGCCCCTGAGCCTGGATCCATGAGCCACCCCCCATCCCCCACACACAAACTTTCGTGGTTTACGGTGGGGGAGGGTGTCTAATCCTGATGTCTCGAGTTTATGCACAAATTTAGCGTGTGACAATCTTAACAGTTTATCAAAAACGACGTAAGTTTATGACTAAACTAAGAAACATAAGGGGATGGGGGTGTTTCCAAACAACGTGAGGACACAGGGACCATACTCACAGAACTCGTTCTCAGAGCACCCCTGCTTTTGACTATAATATAGTCTTCAAAAATGACCAAAATATATATTATAGTCTTGACGATACGTAAGATCGATGAGTACAAATGTCGTTTTGAAATACTACATTACCTATTTAACATCTGTAAATCAACAGCAGTCATATATAGATGATTGTTTTGTTGTGTATACACTCAGCACTTAGTAATATGATATAATATTGAATTGAAGTGAAGCCTTTGTTAAAATTGAAGTGGTTAAGAAATTAATTCATCGATTTCGGCCAGTGGGATCTGTGATTACAAGGCCGTAAATGTATAGACAGACCATGCTCATTTAAAATCGATGAGACTTGAATTTCAAGGTTAAATTGTTGTAAATCACTCAATAGCAGGTCGGCCTTATACTCTTACATTGTATATAATAATATTGCACAGTTAATAATCACCCAGCAATATACTTGATAAGATTGTATTTAATAGTAAGTGCAGGAGGACCGCACTACACCCAAACAAAATCCGATAAGACCTAGTAAGTGCAGGAAGACCGCACTACACCCAAACAAAATCCGATAAGACCAACCTGCGGACAAGACATACACTCCGCAGACATTGCAGGCAATAAACAAACAAATATCAAATCAAGCGAATAGATTATTTTTGGGATATTCACTTTTTCGTCACTTGTATCATTAAGATCCGATCTTAGTAGTAGCCCCGCCCCCACCCTCACTTACATAAATTTTAGTATATAAGGGGTTAATTCTTTATTATTGCCGTTTTTAATATTATGTGACTGACCAAGAAGTTATATCGTATTAAAATTATGATATCGTAAAATAACTACTAAAGTATTGCGTTATAAAGTGCCTTAGAGCAGTCATTGCTTGAAATTTTGTTGCGCAATATAAATGAATAAATTATTATTAGACCTATTAATTATTTATTATTACAGTGTCCGTGGTTTATGAATATAAAGTTATTCAAAATTTCATATTGACTAACATTTATTTACGAAAAGATGTGGAATAAAAAAAGGTGACATTATTAAGAGGATGCTGCCCTAATTTTCTAACAGTACAATGGACGAGGAATTTTAAGTGAGGTTTAAATTTTAAAGTCGTGTTTAAAACAATGGATACAAAATTAATTCGTTTAAGCCCTTTCGACTGTAATAAAATATTGCATCGTAAATTGTATCCAAGGACGAATCGGATGGGGTGTCGTTGTTCGTGTGTATCGTGTGTTACAGTGTTGCTGTTTCTCTGCACTGTATCAGAATTCAGAAATTATATGGAATGGGGTTTAATGTCCTACTTGTCTGCCCCGACTAGGTTAATGAAGACAGACTTACGCCATACAGTGTGTTAGAAGGGAAATTTTACCCGAAATTCTAACTGTCAAGGGTTCTTTATCGTGCACACCGATGTCCACACGGGACCTCGGTTTTTCAGACCATCCCAACGACTAGACACTTCACTGGTCAGGCCCTCCGTCCTGCATCACTGACAAGGAGAAACCGCGCTGGAAAATCCCGAGGAACTTTCTCATCCAACACTGGGATCGAACCCCGGACCTCTTGGTTTGTGGGCTAGCCCCTAACGCACTGAGCCACCGCGACTTCACCCCCTGACAAGCGAGAACCGGACATGAAATATCCCGATGGCTCTTCTCGACCTACGCCGTGATTCGAACCCATACCATTCTATTCGAGACGCCACTGTCCTTTCACCCGCCTACCGCGGCGGCCCCACTACGAAAGAAAGTCAATCTTTAATATGGCGGTTCTCTTGCACTTTTAACAATGGACTCATTAAAAGACAGGACTGAAGAAAGCGAGCCTTTAAGACTGTGCTAGTCACTAGCTGTAGTCGATTCACAATTCAGACGTGACTCAACACAGTCAGTATATATTAATCTAGTTCGTCTTGTATCATCATTGAATTTCACGACACTGTAAAAGTTCACTTTTTATCATAAATTAATAAAGGAATTATTTTTTTTTCTATTTAAATTACGGTTGAACGAGTACAACACTGTATCAGCGATGTCGTTTAGTATCGCCAACTAGCGCAATACTTAAAGGGCATTAGATTAGATAAAGAGCTGACAGTTCTCGCTATAATAGTTAAAAAGATAATAAAAACAGAATATGCTGAAAATTTCATTCAGATTGCTTCAATTTTAGGATAGCCTCAATCGTCATTACTTACGTTGTTACGATAATAAATAAAGCCTCGATTATCCAATATTACGTTAAATTATCAATCACAAAATGTATTCAAATCCACTAAATGTCATAGGCTAGCCATGGCTTCGAGAGTTGATTATGGTATACATAAGTTAGTATACTTCTAATTGAAGATACATTATGGGAGATTCGATAACGAGTTGGCAGTTATCACTGTAATAGTTAAAAACTTGAAGATAATGTAAAGGCAATTTGCTGAAAATTTCATTCAAATTGATCCACTATGAACCGAGAACTAAGCGGTTGAAATTTTCGGCTAGCCTTGATCATCATTACTAAAGTCAGTACGATAAACAGCATAGTCTCGATTATCCATTTAATCGCTAGCCCTGTTTACATCTCATGACCTATGACCATATATACTCTGTCTGCAGTGGATGCAGAATGCTGACAAAATCTCAAACTCCCCTCATAGCACACTGTATGCCGTATGCTCGTCTTCATTAGCCCAGTCGGAGCAAAACAATAGGACGTTAAACCCCATTTTATTTCATTTCATTTCATAGATTCAACATTCATAATGTTGTACTTTGCAAGGGATAAAAACTCCCTCACATGATGATCAGGGTCTTTTAAACATGCATTTTCGTCGACACATTCCATTAAATTATAAGTAAGTCATTTAATAATGGCAGAGAAATATGATAGAGTTCAGGTTGCCGTTAGACCTAGCTTTGTTTAAGTGGTCGAGGAGAGAACCTCTTATAGAAAGACAATATTGACTTAATATAACCTGTTTGAACGGCGGATGGCCTTCAAAATATATATTACATTTTTGAAAGGAAAGGACGATACCAGGCTTTGTCGTCTAGCCAACATTTTACTGTGTTAAGTCTAAGATTAACATACCATACCTTTAGTTTTAGTCTTATTTAATGTTACGTATTAGAAAGAATGTTCGATCCCTGCATTGGTCGAGTAAGTTCATCCAGACTTTCCGG